TAGAGATGAGGAGGAACCACCATACATACCAGGCTACTCCTGGATGGGAAGCAACCGGAGGGGAGGTGAATGCAAAGGCGGAGGTCTAGGCATGTTAGCTAAAGGACTGGGAAAGAGAGGGAAGGCTGCAGAGAAAACATTGTTGGAAGGTAGGGTAACAGGTCTGAACATTCTTCTGGGGTTTGCTTGCCTGAAAACAGGAAATGACTCTAGGGAGGAAAATACAGAACACTTGACATGTATATTGAGGGACATCAGAGAAATTGGCCTTAATCAGGAAATAATTATTATAGGACACATGAATGCCCACCTAGAAGAGTTTGACGGATTCACAGACACGAACAGAAAGCTGCTAGAAGATTTCTGTGATGCCCTGGACCTAATGTTAGATAATGCACAAGTAAAATGCTATGGCAAAATAACGTGGGAACAAAACAACTAACACTCAACTACTGCCTCATGTCCCACAAACTGTATGACAGGTTAGAAACTATGGAAATAGATGAGGAAGGTACAAAAAGCTTAGGGAGTGACCACAAACAAATTAAGATTAAATTTGGCGCATCCGAACCAGAACAGCAAGCTCAGGAACGAGCAGGTAAGCCTAAACTAAGTGAAGCTCGAATACAAAAAGTATCCAAAAGCATTGAGAACATAGTATTGGAACAATCAGAGAGAGAGTGGACGTATGAGGATCTATAAGGAATCTTAAAAAGAGAATTAGAGGAGCATCAAACTAAACAAAGAGGAAAGCAAAAACGAAGACACAAACCTAAAAGCTGGTGGGATAAGGAGGTCAAAAAAGCCATATTGCGGCGCCAAGATGCATCTAGGGAGCATAGGTGTGCAAAGAAAAGGGGAGCCTTGCCAGCTGAAGTAGCATTCAAATGGGAGAACTTCAAAGAGCAGAAAAGGGAATCATCAGCTATAATACAGGCCAAAATTGGAAGTGCAGGAGTGCAGTGGATGATGGAAATAAATAAAAAAATATAAGAATGCGGCAAAAAGGCTTTGGGAAAATATTAAAGCGCAGGGGAGAAAGACAGAGGGTATCCAACACTTACTGACCAGACAGGAGGGGAGAACAGTGGAGGGGGAAGAGGCACGTGAATATATTAGGCAGACAATCAAAGAGGCTTTCTCCCAGCTTGAGCAGGGGGGGGAGGGTGGATAGCACGGTCAGCAGCAGTGTTGAGGAGGAACAGAATTGTGTAACAATAGAGACGACTACAAAAGAATGGGACAAGGCAGAAAGTAAGGTTCCAGCAGGTACAGCGGCAGGCCTAGACAACATACCCATGGAACTCATAAAGACACTTTAAAAACAAGCAAATTGAAGTTACGGCATGTGATTAACCAAATAATTATGAGAGGAGAGGTGCACAATGATTGGAAACTAAGTAAAAAGAGACTAATATATAAAGGCAAAGGAAACAAAGACAGCATTAAGTCATATCGACTGATAACGGTAACTTCAGTTCTATACAGATTAGCTATGCAGATAGTAAAACATAGAATGGAGCAATGGACAGAAGATATGCAAATACTGGGCGAGCTCCAAAACGGATTCCGAAGAGAGAGAAGACTGGAAGATAACCTAATCGTCACCACCCAATGTATAGAAATGGCAATGAAGAACAAAACTCCTTTATGGTTAGCTTATTTGGACATTAATTAAGGCAGCGTACGATAATGTGAGCCAAGAAAAACTCGGGGGTCAGTTGAAGGAGTATAATTTAGATACACATTTGGCTATGTTTCTTCAGCAGGTGTACACAGACAATAATGTAGTTATAACATGGGAAGCAGAAACTACACAACCTGCAGCAATAAAAAGAGGACTCGGGCAGGGTTGTCCACTGTCAACCCTGCTTTTCATGATATATCTCAGTAAAATGGAAAAGAAATTAGTGCAGTACAACTTAGGTTTCCATGCGAGTTATATGGAAGGAGGGAGAAATGTAGTACAGGTAATACCAGGACTGATGTATGCGTATGACATAGTACTCATGGCAGGTAACCAGGACACATTACAGGAACTAGATGGAATATGTGGAGAGGAAGGGGACACCTTGGGCATGAGTTTTAGTAGTGACAAGTCTGGAGTAATGGTGTTTAACGACAAAAAGAGGGAACCCCTGAGAATACAAGACATTACAATAGACCATGTAGGAAAATACAAATATCTGAGAGTCTGGTTCAATGAGGGAAGGAAATATCTAGAGGAACATGAGAATATAATTAGAAAAGGGCAAAGAAATTAATATGGAACTATAATAGATATGATGTGGTCAGAGGTATATGGAAAGAAGTGATGGTACCTGGACTGACTCTTGGCAATGCAGTACTGTGTATGAAATCAGAGGTTCAATCAGGATTAGCAATTCGACAAAGAAGCGTAGGCAGGTTGGCACTGGGAGCACATGGAAAAACATTGAATGAGGGAGTACAGGGGGACATGGGATGGTCGTCTTTAGAAAGCAGGGAGGCAATTAGTAAGTTGAAATTTGAACAAAGGTTGACCGAAATGGATGATACACGGTGGGCACAGAAGGTATTCAAGTTTTTATACATGAAAAGTTTAAACACAAAATGGACAAACTGAACCCGAAAGCTTACATTTAAATACCTACACACTGGTGATGGCGCTGAACAGACTACTTCAGTGAAGAAAGGGGTGAAGGAGGCAGAGAGGAAAATGTGGGAGGGGAGAATGCAGGAGAAATCAGCTCTAGCAGTGTACAGGCAGGGGCAGACTTAGATGGGGGGGGGGGGTGTCCGGATGTCCTGACCCCTCTCTTGATTTCTGCATCTGTGAAAATTTAGGGCATGGAAGCGGGGGAGGGGGGTTGGGGTTCCTGAACAGAACATATGGTACGCTGACCAACACCTGACCCCCCACTCTATAAATTTTTGCATTTGCCCCTGCGTACAGGTCACAAAAAGAGGACATAAGAAAGGAAAATCTGTTTGACAATTCACTGGGAAGTTCTTTGCTGTTCGAGGCGAGAACGGGAGTTTTGAGGACGAGGACGTATAGGGCCAAATTTCTGGAGACAGACACATTATGTGCCGCCTGCCATAATGATGGCGAGACACTAGAGCACTTGGTTTTGAAGTGCATGGGGCTTCGTCCTGCCCTCCCTGAAGGGGTAACCGATTTGGCCGGGGCCCTGGGCTTTGCGAGCTACGTGTAGGATTGGAGTCACAAAGAGGCGATTAGAATTATGATTATAATGCAATTAAATGCAAAGCAGCAAGCGAGCTGGACAAGAATGATGAAGAAGGCGATTAGAAGATTGGTGGATATTATCTAGGGAAAATTGAATGATGGACAACTAGCACAGCTGGGGACAGGCGGGGCAGAGGAAAATTGGGAGTCCCTCCTGCGTGGGTCCCGTGCTGGGGTAATGCCGACAAGGTTTGACCAGAGCAAAATTGGCAACTCCCTCGCCGGGGGGAAGAGGCAGGGAGGTGATGTTTTTAGTTTTTTTTGCCCGATCCCCCGAAGGTCATCCTGGTGATATCCCACGCTGCCTGGTGATAGTTAGGGGGAGAAAATTGGTCATAGAAGGGTGCGAGGAGTCACATATTTTTGTCTTTTTAGACTTAGGCTAGGTGGCGTAAGCTACCACCCGTTACAAAGGGTATAGCCATTAATATCCATCCAACATCCATCCATCCAGTGATACACGCTTGAAGTGAATTTTTTTAGAGCGCAGCTCTTTGTGCCCGTTTCCGGCTTGAGCGGCGTCGCCGTCACCGCGCGGTGCATTATGGGTAAATTTCCCCGCTAAATCTAGCGGGAAAATTTTCCCGCTAGATCTAGCGGAAAAATTTTCCCGCTAAATCTAGCGGAATAATTTCCCCGCAAAATCTAGCGGAATAATTTCCCCGCTAAATCTAGCGGAAAAGCTTCCCTGCTAAATCTAGTGGAAAAATTTCCCCGCTAAATCTAGCGGAAAAATTTCTCTGGGGAGTCACGTCACCCCCCCCCCCCCCCCCCCCCCCAGTAAAACCTTCCCTTTTCCTCCTCAAGAGCTGCGCTCTAATTCGGCGTTACAGGGAGTTGTAAACGGCTTTCACTTTTTTTTTAAACAGCGTTCTTTTCAATAAACAGCGGTTCTCTAAACTGAGGCCCCGCTTTCTCTAAACCGATCTGCGATAAAACATTCTTCGATGAAACGGCGTTCGATCAACCATAGTAAACCCAAACTTTTGACTAAGGTAACGGTTAGTTCTGCAACTTTGGCATCTGGTTCGGACCGCTAGCGCTACATTCGGGCGGAGAATGAGCGTTCCGTGATGCCTAGTTGAATTTTACGGTAAGCTAAACATACAGAGTTACTCCAGCGAGGCCATGAGCTGCGCTGGTCCATTTCGTTTCGTTGAACTCCGTACATTCCACGACTGCGTCCAACGAGCTCTGGGACAGATGGACCACGGGCCCCCAGGGGGGCTATGTTCGCCAAATGTTTCGTTCCTCCTAAAAAGAAACGGAAGTGACAATATTGCATCCGATTGGTTACAGGCTCAAATGATGGAGAAGGTAACTTTCGTCATTTGAGCCTCTAACCAATCAGACGCGATATCATCACTTCCGTTTCTTTTTAGGAGAAATGATAGCCCCCCTGGTCTGTAAACATTGGCCACATGCTGCAGTGTTTTCCCTCGCCTGCGCATGTTGCCATGCTGCTACTGCCCAGCTTCACGGACAAGATTGCTTTCCTACCGGATGTGAGGCCCTTACACTGGCTTCATTAAGATGTTTTTACTTGAACGCTTGACCTTCCCCAAACACCGGCACGAGCAGAACCTCCAGACGCGCTCAACCCGTTCTCGCAGCTCGGGAAACAAGACGGCGCAGATATGAGCAGCGATTTCCTGGAAGGGGACTGCAACAACCGCTGTCAAGGTCGAGAGCGGCCTGACGGATCCGCCTCATGGACAAGACGGGTCACTGCAAGCCTTTGCGCAATACGCACGACAGAAACACTCACCAAGGGCATGGCCAGGTACTGGCTGAAGAATCCCACGATGGGTCCGATGGGTCGGCGCAGGACGTTCTTGACAGTCTCCATGTCCAGCGCGCAGCCCATGTTGATGTAGTTGAGGGACACGAGCACGGCGACAGACACCGTGAAGGCCAGGGACAGCAAGCTCTGCTTGCGGATCACGCTGACGGGCAGGACGTCGGACGTGTCCTGGCCGCCCCGGGTCCCGTTCTCTAGGACGAGTCGCACTTTGGCGTGGCCTAGGAAGTTGCCCCTCACCGTAAAGGTCCCGTTTGCGAAGTCGTCGCCCTGCGCCGTCAGGTTCATGTCGGCCACGGACGCCACGGCTGGATTGTCCGCGACGAGCGTAAAGAAGCGCGACTCTGGCGCCAGCCTGGTGCGGGCCGAGAACGCCACCCGGGTCTCATCGCCCTGCTTGAGCTTCTCGACGCGGCTCGGATTGAAGGCGACCGACAAGGCGGCCACCACCTCGAGCAGCAAGAGCAGAAAGCTCAGGATGAGCGCCAGCAGAATGACCGGACACATGGCTCGCCTGTGGTCAGACTCCCAACGGCAATATTGGCCCGCGCTCGTTCCTCGGCGGCCCTTGGAAAAACCTGTCTTGGAGAAACGAGGACACTACACCGGACGCCGAGACTCTCTCGCACGGACCGCACTCCGAAGGACACGCACACTGCGCTCGATGTCACAGGACGTCTCACTTTAGTCTCACGAGTGTGCCTAGATTACGGGGTGTTTCCAACTGGTCGAGCGGGTCACGTGTTTTAAGGGGGGGGGGGGGGGGGAGCGTTGTGATATGCCGCGTTCGCAATTTTCCTCCTTCCCACAACGCCGCAACGCGTGCGCACTTGCCACCAATCGTTGTAGGAGGCGCCCGCCATTTTAAGTTGTAAATGTTCTCTCACTCCTTCTCTGTGGCTTGAGTTGCTCTCTCTCCCAAATCTAGCCTGTCACAAGCGATTGCGCGCCCTCTTTAGCCAACCATTGGGAACTAAACGTGACGTCAGCCACTACGTACAGATACACGTCGTTCGTACGTGACGCGTTGGCGTCAGCGTACGTCAACTTGTCCAACCACTGCGTCCGACTCAGTGGTTCAACCGCTGTTCTATATGATAATATACCTTTTGCCGAATTACCCAAGCGTCAAAAATAATGCCGGGAACGTATGTACACGCGTTGCTCGTCCGACGGCCGGGAGCTGAGCCAGCCACTTCGCACGCGCGTTCCACGGATGCGTTATTTTGAGCACGTGCAGCGCGTGTTCATCAAAGAGAATGTTGGGAACCTACGTTCCCAACATTCTCTTTGATGCATGGATAATTTAGCAAAAAGTCTATTGCCGGATCGTGCTTCCCTGCTCCGCGGGAACGCGTCTCCCGCGTCTCCGACTGGGCCGACTGGTGTGTTTACCACGTCCAAAAAACTGGTCCCTCAATTTCCGGCTGATGACGTCATAGAAGTGTCTTGCTGTCGCCGGTCCCGATCCTGGTGGTGTTCCAGCAGCAGTGATTGTAGTAGCAGATGCGTGCTCCGCTGCAGGTCGCTCTTTAATCTGACAGTCCACGGAAAATACAGCAGTCAGAAGTTGGGACGCCGTAACGACAGCGACACTCGTGTTCGCTCGTGCTCTTCGCCAGCGTTTCTATGATCAACCGCCAGGATCGTGACATGCAACAGCATGACACTTCAGGCCAACGTTGACTTCCACCAGCTCGCCTGCGCACTGTTTTTTTTTTTTTTTTTTTTCATTTTTAAGTTGCACATTTGCTCCGCTCTTCAAAAGGGGCGATTTCTCCCGCAACCCCCGCAACGCCCGCAACACGGCTTGCCCGCGTTGCTATCATCATTATTAAATTTTATTTTATTCCTTTTATTCGCACTGTTTAAACAAGCAGTTTTGCGCAACGTTACTAACGTTGGTTTTGCGCTATAAACGAGTTTTTATACATTTAAATGACGTTAAGATTACCAAATCATCTTTCTGAAACGGTTTATTTAAAAAAAGAATATTAATTTTAAACCAGAACCAGGTCTTTAGTTGTCATCATCACCGGCCCGGAGTATCACGTGAAAATATCGCGTCCCTGATTGGCTGCTACCGCTTCAAATGCCGTCTTTCTTCGAGCCGGACCCGATTAAATCCCGATCTCAGCGATTCGTGTCGATCTGGGTACCTCGGGACACGTAACCCCAGCAACCCCAAAATTGCTGAGAAAGTTGCCCCGTCTGAAGCGTTGCTGAAGCCATACGTTGACACCGCTAAGCCAGCTGAGCATTCCGACCACAGCGATGCCGACGGCGCGATAGACGTGAGGCACCACGTCGACACGAGACGATGCTGAAAGCGGTCATCCTGATCGGCGGGCCCCAGAAGGGCACCCGCTTCCGACCGCTTTCCTTCGACATTCCGAAGCCCCTGTTCCCGGTGGCCGGCATGCCCATGATGCAGCACCTGATCGAGGCGTGCTGCAGGCTGCCGGCCCTCCGCGAGATCCTGCTAATCGGCTTCTACCCGGCCGACGACGCCGACCTGTCGAGCTTCGTGCGGTCGGCTAGCAAGGAATACCAGCTGCCCGTCCGCTACCTCCAGGAGTATACGGCGCTGGGTACCGCGGGCGGCATCCACCACTTCCGCGACCAGATCCGCCGCGGCGATCCGGAGGCCTTCGTGCTCATCAACGGCGACGTGTGCGGCAACTTCCCCCTAGCCCAGATGGTGGCCTTCCACCGGTCCCTGCCCAAGAGTAACCTAGTCACTATGCTAGCCACCGAGGCGACGCGGCACCAGTCGCTCAGCTACGGGTGCATCGTCGAGGACCGTGCCACGCACGAGGTGCTGCACTACGTAGAGAAGCCGTCCACCTTCGTCAGCGCCGTCATCAACTGCGGCGTCTACGTGTGTAGCCTCGACCTGTTCCAGCGGACGGGCGCCGTACTGCGTGAGCGGCCCGAAGATGTCTTGGCGCCCGACCACCGGGACGCCATCAGCCTGGAGCTGGACGTACTCGGTCCCCTTGCGGCCAGCGGGCGCCAGCTGCATGTCTTCCAGACGAGCGAGTGGTGGAGCCAGCTCAAGACGGCAGGCTCGGCCATCTACGCTAACCGGCACTACCTGGAGCTGTACCGGCGTTCGCACCCGGAGCGGCTTGCCAAGCCTCTGGGCCCCCCCACCATCCTGGGCGACGTGTTCGTGCACCCGTCGGCCTGCGTGCACCCGAGCGCTACTTTGGGGCCCAACGTGTCCATCGGCCCGGGCGCCCGGGTCGGGTCCGGCGTGCGCATCCGGGAGTCCCTGGTGCTGGCCAACGCCGTGGTAAGCGACCACTCGCTCGTCCTCCACTCCATCGTGGGCATCAACAGCACTGTTGGCGCCTGGACGCGCGTCGAGGGCACTCCGTGCGACCCCAACCCGGACCGACCCTTCGCCAAGACGGAGAACGTGCCGCTCTTCAACGCCGACGGCCGCCTCAACCCCTCCATCACGGTGCTAGGCTGCAACGTAACGGTACCCTCTGAGGTCATTGTCCTCAACTCCATTGTCCTGCCCCACAAGGACCTCGCCCAGAGCTACAAGAACGAGATCATCCTCTGAGGCCAGACCGTCTGTTGGACGACGCCTGGAGGGGACTTCGGGGCCGGCTCGGTGTCCGGATGGCACCAGACGCAGTGTTTGCAATAAGGTTGACTCGTCGACCGTACATGCTTTGGATACTTGGCCCGAGGGATGGGCTTCTCAATTAGCCTGACTGCGTCCGGATACATGGACCCTGATGGACGTCAAACCCACTTTAGACGGTCTGCAAAACTCGCTTTTTCAACGATTTACTACAGAGTAGGTGGTGAAAGAAAAAAGATCAATAGAATCGAAAATTTCGGGCAATCACTTGCAGACAGCGTGTGCTGTCCACTTAATGACATATCGGGAACGTCGAGAAGGGTTGCTTCACTACCCAGTGCATGTGCACTTGCAATTGATTGACGCAGTAAACTGAAAACGCTCCGTGGTTTGCCCCCACATCTAGGCTCTCCAATGCCCAGCACCGAGCTTAGCATCTTCTGAATGTCTTGACTCCTCAGCGCACCATATCTCTCTAATGTACCATATTCAAAGTGCAATAAACTAAATAGAAAAATATTAATTTTAATAATTCTTGCACAGAGATGATAGGAGATACTTCACGTTGCACCATCTGTCGGCAGCACTTATGAGCAGGCGAGCACCGTTATGGCACTGTGTGCAAGATTGCCCCAAACAGGTTTGTCACCGGGTAAGCTCATCCGTCCATATTTTCGCTGCACACTTGCACCATTTAGCCCCACCTCTGTAGTGAATCGCACAGCAATATGTAGACAAAGCAAGTTTTGTGGACCGTCTCCAGTGGGTTCCAAGCGTTGGTGTACATGCTGAAAAATATGTGCCACCTTCAACCATTGAAACCGACCAAACTGCAACAACACACTAGTAATGGCACCTTTGAAAGCATTTTTGTTTGAGCCTAAAAGAGATTGACTTCCAACAAAGACAAGCTTCCTTTCATTGTTTTATTATCTTTGAAACATTTTTCCTATAATTGACTCTCTAGGCACCTTTGAAAGCATTTCCGTTTGAGCCTAAAAGAGATTGACTTCCAACAAAGACAAGATTCCTTTCATTGTTTTATTATCTTGGAAACATTTTTCCTATAATTGACTTTCTAATGTGCTCGGGCACTGCATGCACCATTTTATGAAATAAAAACAACTTTGTTACGACTAAAAATTCTTGCACAACTTTGTGTGGAGCATTCTAAGTAGGTGTTCCACTGATTTTCATAATGAATTTGGGTCAGCAATATTCCCAAAGACGAGCAAACAGTAAATTTTTGGGCACATTTTGTAAGAAACTTTGTGAATCGGTATCTCCTAGATCACGGACAGAGTCCAAGGCAGTGTGACTGTCCTTTCAGCCTAGAAGCCCAGCCAGGAGGTGGCCGGCACAGAGCCAGCTTTAAGCACGTCTGGCACCCGACGCGTCAACTCGTGCTGGACGTCGATGCAGTCTCGATTGGCATCTATCACCTGCAAATATTCGAGCAGTCGGCGACTTTCTAAACTGGTCCCTAAAGAGACTGCACTGTCATCACCTTGGCCCATCAACACAATGGCCACAGTGCTTCTTACAGCGACTGGCAATTGGCAACGTGCGCGACCGAAAGGGTCGCTGCGGTTGGCCTTCCACGATTGGCCGAAAGCTGACTAGGACGTCGGGAAAGGCTATACTATCGACGGAAATAAGAGGAATGAAAGAACTTTAATTTCGAACGCGTTGGCAGTGTTGCTTTGAGAGTGCTATGATTTCAGGCTTCCACAGTGCTATTTATAAACACCATCGAACTTGTTGTTCGCAAGGTAATGACGTCACAAGGGGGAACCATAGGAGGGCGCCACCAAAACATCTCGGGGCTAATAACTACACCCACAAATAGATGGATTAAGTGATCTAGAGGACTTAAAAGTGCAAAAAACATGGACGAAGAAGGGACACATACAACACGAACTGGCGCTACCTTATCGAGAGAAACCACCCAGCACACATGCGTGAACACCCTTTCCCATCTTGGCAACCCCCTGTGATAAAAGCAACCCATAAACACAAAGAACAGATGACAATGATCTAAAAATTCATATCAGTTCAACGTGTCGACACAAAGCCATCTAGAAAAGAAACCTTGTCATTTAGCAAAACCGAAGGCGTGCTGACGCAGTTGTCACCCGAGGACTTCATAAAATACGCTTCAACTATTTCCCTTTCAGTCTTATTGTTTGCTCTTTCAATAAATTTTGCTAATTCTAACAGGGGATCACACTGGCACTGCATGCAGTGTAATGCAAGATGTCCCCCAGATTTGTTATGAACTGCTAGACGATGTTCACGCGCCCTTTCATTAAAACGTCGCCCAGTTTGTCCAATATACACGCGCTCCAACAAGGTAGAGGGGCTTAGAGCGATCAACTGGTATCCCGTTCACCAGGCAAAAGTGACCCCCCCTTGGCTGCTGCCATGTTGTACAATTTTGACCACTAGACACATGACCGTAGTAAATCTTGAGGCTTTTATGCAAAACTGAGCCGAGATTTGTAATGCAATCGCCATAAAAAGCATGATAAACTATTTTTCAATACTGATGGCTCCGATACAAACCCAAAATACAGCACCGCGGCTGATGGCACCTAACAGAGGCATTGCGAAGCTGCCCAGAGTTTTTGTCGTAAAAGCCCCCCATTTTGAACTTAAAACAAACGAAACAACTTATCCCGTCGATACTGTTATTTAAGATCAATAAGCAATTATTTGTGAGCGGTACTTCGTTAAAATCTAGAAAAAACACTAACAGGTCACGTGTCTAGTGGTCAAAAATGTGCAACATGGCGGTGGCCAATGGGGGGTCACTTTCAGCTGCCAGTTTATCGCTTTAAGGCCCTCTACCTCGCTGATGCGCCCGCACGTTAGCACTTAAACTTTTAGTTTTCTCTTGCTGACCGTCCCCCGCGTTGCCTTTTTTTTTTTATATCTTTTGTAAGAGGTTTTCCCACATGCCGGTAATCAAGCAGGCGGGGTAGCCCGCCCTGTCTAAGCGTTCTACCTAAAGTTCCAAGCTAGACGTCAAAGCGTGATGCCAGCTTTTTGTCACAGCAGCCTGAAGACGGGTCAGAGCAATCCCTCTCTTTATCAGCTTAGAAAAAGTGCAATCAAAAGAGGCCTTTTCTTGAATGCGGCTTGTACAACCAGCACACATGTTCATCTGTAAAAGTAAGCTGTAGGCCTAAAAACTGAATGCACGTGTCCATGGGAAGCTCCCAGGTGAACTTCAATTCGTCCGACATGGCCTCAAACAATTTGACGACCTTTGTAACAACATCATTAAAACACATCACCAAGTGATCACTCACAATAACCAGAAAATCGTCAACATATCTAAAAATCCTAAGCACGACACTGACAGGATATTTATGCTCGCCAAGGTTTCTATTTGTACATTACATATGAGAGACCAACTAGGTACCCAAAAAATAATTCGCGGCTCGAAATTAATTTTCTTTTTGACCGAAAACAGTCGATCAAGAACTCGCTCTCTTCTCCCCCGGCCACGTGCCGTTTTTTAAGGTTTAGACACAACCACCAAATATAATCAAAGTCGTAGGTCATCGAAGGCACGCACACAATATTAAAAAAAGAAAAGAATTATGAGACCCATTTTTTTTTTTTTGTAGTTTCTAAAAAGCTGCAAATGCGTTGTTTGGGAGGAAAAAAGTATCACGTCCACGTGACTTCTGCCACCTCTCTCCTCCTCTATTTTGTTCTTCCTCCCCAGTCCAGTTTATGTTTCGAGCAGTTAGTTTTTTTTTTTGCTTTATTAAAAATATGCGTGACGCTGTAACAATATATTGATTGGGTAGCCTTCCGACACCAGAATGAATCGCCTGACAAAAAATTAAAAAGATAAATATTGGGGGGTGTCAGTGTCCCTTTAAAATCTTTCAGCAATGTATGAACTGGCAAGAGGTATTTAATTTACTGAAATTAGTTACAACTTGAGTAATTACTTCCCATTAAAATATCATTTCAGAATCTCACTGCAATTTCGTGTAGTTCAATTAGTTACTTTTCAAAGTGATACCACAAATACATAAATTGGCACGAATTGAATTTCAAAATAAGAGTTCCATGTGGTCACTGCCTCAAGCTCAGCCGTGAGTAGGTGAAGGTGGGAAGAGTGCCAGTATCTTTACTTCAATTAAAACTGAGGTGTTCAGAAGGAACTGGAACATCACTTTGTTCACTTTTCCAGCTATAAAGTCTAACCGCATACATTTGTGAAAATGCAACTATTTATCAGTCGACTACGCTATAGCTCCGTAGGCTGGTGAATGTGTCGAATCAGCAATAATCAGCAATGCGCAAAAGCCCCCCTGTCGAACAATACTCGGTAAAAGCAATTAGCTCGAGCTTGCCTCGATGTAGCTGAAAAGCGGCCATAAGTCAAGAGCTGGCAAGCTAACAGCATAGCAATGCTGTTGGCCGAGACGCCTTCTCGAGCCGGGAAGCGGCCGGGAACTCACCAGGACTCGGGGGGGCAGGGGAAACTTGGACCGGCCCAGCAGCCAACTGTCGTGAAGCATGTGCACTTGGCGCAGCCAGGCCTACAAACGACACAACTCATCAGACCCTCGGCGGTCCCGCTCGCCTTTCCACAAATGAGGCTAGCAACAAGACTGGAGAGTTAAAATCTGCATCATTTAAATCGCGATATAAATTAGACCAGTTTTACCACGATGATTGAAATCAAACCTTGCCCGGAAAAATAATCCTGAAAATAGCTTTTGTTTACCATTTATCTATCATTTGATGCTTTCTGCATGCACTTGTTCAGTGAAAAGACTATGTGCACAGGTAAGCTGGCAGCAGCATGCTGCAGAAAAGTAAGAAAAACTTTTAGTTCAAGGAACAGACACAGAAGGGAATGTCTGTTCCTTATAACAACTTATAATGTTCCTTACAAAACAAATTTATAACAACCAACAGAACTGGGTACAAAAATCAAGCAGCCTAAATGTAGCCTTTCACCTTGCTTTACTTTAGAATTTTTGCGGAGAAAAATATTTGTAAAAAGGTTTAAAAAAAAAGACCTCGTTCATTACGGAAATGGGTCTTAATTTTTTCCAGCCAATCAAAATATCCACCCCGGCACACGTGTTCAATTTTCAATGGAAGCACCCAATGATAACCAGAGGGGCATTTTATGCCACGAGACATGGGGCAACCCCCATTCAACCATTTTGGACCACGACCAGCTCTATTTTACTTGCGACCACTTCAGCCGCGAGTGCCACAGCACCCGCTTTGGTCATGCCCTGCTGTCCACTCCTCCCGAGAGATGGCGGTGCATCTCAGCTGCTCCTCTGCTGCTGGGGTCAACTGTTGCATGCTCTTCGACACGCATCGTATGCTGCATTTTCTCCCACACTTGCCTTCGTTTTATTAAGTCGCGTGTTGTTTAATGTTCTTAAAACATGAGCATCCTCCGACCATGGCACTTTTCGTAAACATATCCTGTGTTGGGGAAAAGAGTGAAGCGTGGTTTCCTCACTGTAAAAATAATGTACGCCTGGCGGAGCGCTCGTTCTCCCGTTGGGAGCACAAGGTAGTGTTTCAGAACTTGCCGTTATATAATACACAAAAGATATAAGCAATTGTCACACATTTTTCACGAGGAAATGGCGGCAAACGGAGTCCGCACATCCATGGGTGTGAGGCGTCTGCTACCGGGAACGAGCCCTAATTGTCGTAATTGAATATGTCAGAAAATCGCTTATAACTTGAAAATCAGATAAAAGTGAGTTCAGAGACTTTGGCATCTGGTTCCAACCGTTAGCGCTTAGTATATTTTTACGGTGAAAACTTAAACACAGTTCTCTTGCCATCCCTGGTGGGTTTCATACCTGCGTCTACCTGTCGTCGGCTTCGTCATGAATCTGGAGAACGCTGCAAATGCTGCATTTAGTGTACATCTCAAAGGTTATTGGCGGTCATTCTGTACAATGTACATCTGTAATCAGTAATTATGCCCCCCCCCCCCCAAACAAACACATTCCCAGTTTATCAGCTGAGTTCATTAGGCTAAGTCCACCAGACCTTCTTAGAAGACTGCAGACTGATAAATTTTGAAGTCATTCACATTTCCTTAGAAATCACACGTTCAAGGTGTTTGGGCAGAGAATGCGCAAAAAGAACAACCGCTGGCTGAGATGGTGCTCTCGCTTGAAAGTGTGCCATGGTCTCTCGCAAGTTCATGAAAGGTGAACGTCTGTTTTTATTGCAAATCCCTAGAACATTGATTTCATAAAATCTGGATTCAACGCAATCCTAAAAATGCAAATGTATTTTATTTTTACATTTCCCATTTACCGGTTGTTTTCGAGACAATTCGGGGATAAAAAAAATAAAATTGTATAAGTAAGCGAGTGAACAGACTGCCATGCAACTTTTCCCAAAGGTGTTTTTAGGTGGTGCATTGATCATACTAAAAATCGGTGAGTGTAAAAGTCTAGAAAAAATAATTTAAAAAATGTTTTTTTTTCTTATGCGCTGTAGGAAAATGGAAGGAAACACTCGGGTCGACGCTGCATGCTTACATAAGGCACCACATGATACGAAAACTTGAAAGATTCTTAGAAACCCTAAAGCAGATTCCGAAGATCCAAGCATGTGTGGTACCATGCACGAATAGCAGCGTCAACCCGACGGTTTGTTCCTGTTTTTCTCCCATGCAGTGGGAAAAAAACGGCTTTTCTTTTCTTGAACTTTCCCCCAATGACCTACACTCCTGATATTCGAGTATCATAAAGGCACCACCTAAGGCCCTTTCGTGAAAAATTTCATGGCACTCTGTTCATGGGCTTATTTATGCAATATTTTTACAATGCCCTTTAGAGTAAAACAGAACTCAGTTTAAGTGCTGTTTTTCTTTGCATTTATCTTAAGGGGGCCCTGCAATCGTATTTCAGCCTCTACCGTTTTTGCAGTTTCCACGTCTCTTTGGGTTAGGGCAAGCCAGCGGGCATGGAGACGTCATATTTTAACCGGACGACGCGGAAACCTCCTCTACCTACGGGGGCGACCCACGGTGCCGAAAGCACGCAATATGTCACGACATCGTGACATTTTAGGTCCTGGCCTTTCTACTGGTTAGAGCCGCTAAAAGCTTCTTTTTAGTCGAAATACAGAATGTAAGTGGTGCGAGCCATTTCAATTATTTATAGAAGTAGTTTTTTTTCGGTATTTTAGATCAGAGAAGAAACAAATGCAGTTTATAAAGTATGAAAACAAGAAATGACCCGTCGACATACCCGCCACCAAGCGGTGGAAAAGGCGGCGTATACTAGAAAGATGTAGTGGGATTAGGCACCGACGAGCGACGAGCATAGAAAAGTCCCAGATGTACGCGGCAGCGCTGCAGTCGAGGATCCGACCGATTCCGAGCGTTCCAAAGGCCTTCGGCGAGCAGCTTTGGCTTGCGGTTTGGCCCTTTGGCTGTATGGCAGTGCAAAGTGGCTCCCGTTCTGAACTGATCTTTACCCCGTGTTTGCTGTCGTTTGTGGACAATGAAGTGTCATGCCGAATTAGTGTTTAATCGCGCAGCAAATGCAATGCGAGCCGCTCTGGCTGCCCGCTTCATACAGCCTATCCAGAACATGCTTTAGTGGCGCCCCCTCAAGCCGTCGACACAGAGTGCGGAAGCCGCGAGCGCTCGCTGAGCTCACTACCCCTCCTTTAGTTCACGGCCACTCAAGCAACCAAGGACGTGATGAAAGAGGTTATTTTTTGCTTGCTTTTATAATTTTAATTTGCCTATAACTTTTAAAATACAGTGAAATTCGAGAAAAGTTTTATTAAGTTACTACAATCAGTGCCCTCAGGTTCAGTGCAAATTAAAAACCAGTAAAAAAAGTCCTTGCAGGGCCCCTTTAAGGGGTGCTTTGATTGTAGCATCGTTTATTCGGTGAATTTGTGTTAAATAGTAAGGCGAAAGCAAACCATTCAAAAGCGATTTGCCATCGCGCAGGGCGTGTAAAAGCCCATTACCATAGGCATTTCTAGCACGCCTTGAACAGCTGAGTTATGGCGCCATCTAGTGGGACGGCACGAAATTATTTCGGCATATCAGGGGTCAGCTCTTTCCGCAGGCTTGCTCCGGGTGACATGGTCGTATATAGAAAGTTGGTCGTGTTTTGGACATCATATGGAAATCACCTTCCAGTCCCATCTCTGATTCCAAAGCCCCTGTCACCAGACCGGGGATATTTGGGGAACTCTAGGGGACACACACCAGCGAGATTTGATCCTCTTCAGGCCGCTTTCGATGTCGAATGCGCTCCATTGCCACCTCGGGTTCCGTCCTTAAGTACACTGGAATGGAAAAAGCCCCCATCAGATGAAGCAGTGTAAAGAGCGCAACACAGATAGCAAGAATAGCTGTTGCTGGTACATCCTAATTTTCTTTCGCAACTCAAAGGCTGTCATGAAAACTACAATTTTGGAGTAATGCATTTTTTGGGCACGTGCTCAGGTGGTCAAATATGGTGCTCACCAATGTATTTTCTAAGCACGAAGCATGATCATGTTTCTTACATGCACTAGCTCAAGTTATGCTGTATAGAGAAATGTGTAAACATTGCAACACAGCAGAAATTCGAGATCACCCAGTGCTCTCACATGTTTTATAAAAGCAAAGGTAAAAGAAAACTATGTACAGTATACCTAAGGCACTTGGCAGTAGATTTGAACATGCGGCATGTTTTAACTGTAGCCGTCAAGAAGTGTAGGCAAAACATCTGAAAACCTGCCAGTGAGAAAATGCACCAACAAAGCTGTGAAGTATACCGTAATAGCCACCGTGGTTTCAGGCACCATTTTCAGTTTGTGCAAAAACCTCCAAAGATAGACCACTCGCACCAAACAGCTGACCTTGGCAGTAATATATGGGCAGCTTTTATTCCATCACTAGCATCTCCCTATATTTGCCACCTTCGTATGGGCCTTTGTTAGAACCATTTGGAACTGCTCTTCAGTACTGGGCCTATCTGCAGAAAAACCTCGCATCCAATTATAACACAAACCAAAACAGCGGTCATGCCATGGCCTTTATGAAAATTACCTGTGGCCATGGTAGCTTTAATGAAATTGAAACATCGACTATAGCCTCAATTAAACTTCTCTATTGCATGGGACCTGGGCATTGAGGCTACAAGAAAAAGACAAAATTACGGCAACTCCAGGCTGCGGGCCAACGGTGCATATAGAGTCCGAACAATTGACCCCATAGCTGAACAGCGTCTGAAATTTCAGTCCTTGTAACAATAACTCCACGGGGCGAGCGACAGTCCTGGGAACACGTCCGAAAAGTGGGTCGCCGACTGAACCTCCGATAGCTTGCGTGACGTGTTGTGTTATACCGACTTTCAGGCATTCTCGGCCTGGCTCCGATGGTTTTTAAAACTTTTCCCGCTCACACCCCGGAAGTTGGCCCACCCCTCACTTTCAGCTTCTTTGCGTACGGAGAATACTAGGTGAGGAGGGCAGGCTCACGCACCAACGAGGTCGAGTGCAACTCTCTCATTTTGCACGATCCACTGGAACCACTGGTCCAGAATGGAGTGCTCCAGAGGGTCCATGAGCCCGCTGCAAACAAAAACGGCTCGAAGGACTGCGCGAGGGCCAGGTCGACGACGCACCTCTGGAGCAGATTCTCGACAAAGACGTAGCGAGCACTCTGAAGGGAGCGCTCCATGAGTCTGACGGTCGACTGGACAGGAGCCAGGTGGAGCTGCAGCATCGTCAACTGCACGTACGTCTGGAACGCCAGGCTCCATCGCTTGGGCTCACGGTACATCAATGCCTGCACAACACGACTTTCGTAGGCAACAGCCCAATCAATCAACCCTTTGTGTGCACTTTCTTCATCAACTCTCCCATGTCACCCCAGACGCTTCATCTCAAGGGAATCTGGACGTCAAACTGATCGAGTCACACTATGAAAGGGCTCGCAGCATGGAGAACAACTAATCACATAAGCGGGAACCTGAAGGCAGGAATCAAGGTAACAATGCACTTCACACAAAGTGCCTTGACCACACTGCCGAAAAATCTAGTAAGGGTGCCTTCCCCCCAAAAGATCCTCCTATCCCGCGTTTCTGGCTAAATATCTGTAACAAAAAAATGACGAGACATTGCCCACCACCCGATTCCCGAAAGAAATCACATCAGGTGCGAAATCTGCGGTACCAATATGCACATGACAAGCGAGTTCACAGCAGGTTCCCGCGTTTTTTCCACGATCTGCGCTCACGATATCGGTTCCTGTGGCAAGTAAGTTTGTAGCTGGTGTCTGCGTGTTTATCGCAATGTAAAACACGAATCTGTTGCATGTGCAGTCTGCAGCATCCTTCCTTGTGACACTGGAGTCAGTAGCGAATTCCCACATGTTTATCATTGTGAAACGCGAATTGCTGTGTCTGCGGTATCAGTTCCCTTATCACATAGTTTGTAGTGGGAGCTCCTGTGTTTATCATTAATTTTTGGCAACGTTTCGCTGTCTCATCCCCAGATAGCCCAGCTCATGCTTTTCCCCATTTATCTCTTCATTTTGGGTCAATGTCCTTAAAGGATTTTATGGCCGACATTTCTTGACATAACCAATAGAGGAGAGAATGAATGGGACCAGCTATTCCCAGCTTGCAAGCATGAGCAATTTTCATGCCCACGTAAGGGCCTCCTACATATCAGAGGAAGCCAAGGACTAACCCTTTCACAGAGTGAGGCCTTTACTGCTAGGAAAAACCCAAATCAAAGCTTCGTTGACAACAGAATGGTGTAGGAATTCAAACATCAATCTTATTGTTTCTATGCTGTATTAATATAAAGTAATAAATGGCCATCAGGGGCCTTCTTGCATGCTTTTCCGACTCGAGATGCTGCTGGTTGTGCATGGTCACTAAGTCGAGGCTTTCGAAAAAACAATATGGGCACGATAGATGAGTGCATATCTTGGGGAGATGCTCAGTAATAAATAAGGGTGGCAGCAGTTAGTTCAAGCCCCCCAGAAAGAGAAGCGGGCACACCTTACCAGCAGGTTTTTTCCATTCAGGTCTCGCCACGTACTGACTGGTTCTATGAGCACCTGCAACAGTGGTTCACAAGGAATTACCGTGGAATCTCGTTAATTCAAACTCCCTTAATTCACACTCGCGGTTAAAGGCCGTTCACACTCTTGCGACCTCTTAAAACTGGGTTCCTAGAAACATCTTACAACGAAAGGACACACTGGCACCATCTATTGGGTAGCGGTGTAAACTTGGCGGTCCGGCATATTTTCTATTTCTCTCACGCATTATCCTTTCTTTCTTGGCTCGAAAAACTTTTGTCAACGCTATAAACGAGCCTTTCTTATAGGTATTACGCACATTTGACCTCGGAAATCCCGCGAAACCTTCGTTCTTGTGAAATGCAGTTCCAGGATCACCACATAGATGGCACCATAAAGGCAGTGTGTTCCCTCGTCCTAAGTTTAAGAAATTTTAAGAAGTTTTAACAGATCTCGCCTCTCTCGGTCGTACTCAGTTGCAAGAGTGTGAACGGGCCTTAATTCAAACTAACATGCAGGTCCCGTCTTATGTGTTTCTAGGAAGGAAACTCCCGGTAATTCAAACTCTGCATTATTCAAACAAAGTTTTGGTCCCCCCTCGGGTTCAAATTAACAAGATTCCACTGTAGTAGCCGCCTTTGATTACAGGGTGATGAAGGTGCCTTAAGCAGGTTCTCGACCTCATATTTCGAGAAGTTACATATTAATTGTGCATACCCTGTCTTCCTATCAAAAATGTGATCAAAGAGGGCTTCTCCAGTCTGCTCTGGATGAAAGCAGCGGAAAAATAATGCAGCAAATGGACCTGACCAGCAATCATGAGAGCGGCCGTGAGAGCGGCCGTAAAAGCAGCCCAGCAAATATCTTTTCTGCCTGGCACCCTTTTTCTAATAATATTCTGCCTCCTGGCCTTTGGACGCTCTCCTTGGAAGCAGGAAGCGAGTTTGAAGATGGGCCGATGAGGTGCACTCTCCCCTAGTTAGCTCAGTTGGTAGAGCGCTCCACTGGAAATGGAGAGGTCCTGGGTTCAATACCCGGAGCAGGCAGATTTTTTCGGTCACGCACCAGTCACTTAGCTGTGTTTGGAGATTTGTGTTTGTCCTTCTTGTTCCCCTTTTCCAGGGATTATTTTCGTCATTCTTGTCCAGCTCGCTTGCACCTTTGCATTTAATTGCATTTGAATCATGCTCATGGTGGCGTCCATATGCCACGCAGTAATGCCGACTCAACTCACATTGATAGCACGCCGTGCACGGATGCACAAAGTGATTTCCCTACATACCCCCTGGGGGTGTGTGCACCCCCCCCCCCCCTTGTGTTTCTGAAGGCACCCCCTTAATTTTCAACGACTCCTCTATTCTCAATGCCCCCCCCCCCCCCCCCCCCGTCCCCCCCGTCCCCCCCCCCTTACAAGTTTAAACACCCCCCTAATTTCAATTCCTGGGGAAACCCCTGGACGCAGGTATGTATGCACCAAACAAGAACAAGGGCCTGCTCCTTGTGATAGATAAAAGCGTCCAACTTGGCCCGACACCAAGTATTTGTCAACGTGATTGCGGGCTTCCCTGCTTCTCCAGCATCGCTCTTCGTCGCTTCTTTCGTCTGCTCAATCGCTCGTTGAGCCTGGTTAATTCTATTTGCCTGCCGACTTTTTTTTTTCCTTTATTAATGAAGAGAAGATAGCAGTGTTATAAACATGCTTTTACGGAACAAACGTTTTTGCTGTACGATGATCGGTGGTGTTCATCATGCGTATGCAAGCAACAATAGTAAAGCATTCTTTTATGAGTATTTCTTGCATAAAACAATTAAACTAATTTGAGTTTTTGAGATTAATGTACCTCTTGTGCAGTCGCGCTAGATACATACAAAAATATTTAAGTTATTTTTTTTATTTCTTTTTTATCTTTTGTAGTAACCCACTGAGACATGGTCCACCCCACTTTTTTTTTAATTTCAGGTGGCGGGGTGGGCGATGACTCGGGATATTGCGGTTAACAAACATTTCCTGAAAAATAAGCAAAAGCCAACAAAGAAATACAGCTGATGAGACAAAATATGTTAATTTCATTTGGCCTGGCAGCACTGGCTTTCATGGTGTTCTGACTGTGCATGCACAAACTTTCTAAAGTTGGTGCATTTGCACTGGGTAACAACCATACGCTCCGCACTTCTACCACACTACGAAATATAAACATATTTTCTCGTAATGAAAGTCATAATTAATAAAAGCAACACATATCTCATAGTTGCGTATACCTAACAAAGCAGGCAAACCAAAATGGGTAGGGCATGTGGCATGCTCCAGTAGATCACCAAGGGTGTCCTAAGGGGCACTAAACCACTTTCTTGGATAGTCTATTTATGGTCAATAACTCGATCTATAGGCTCTATAGATTTGGTTTGTTAGGATGCTTAGAGCCTATAGATTGAGTTATTTCTTTATTATCCTCAAGCCAAAGCATTACAGAGGGGGGAGGGAGTCGGGATCAAACACGGTACAAAATGGTCAATACGGCTCAAACGCATGAATAATAAAACGCTAGTGTCTTCTTAAATCTTGTAAGATCAATGATGGTCGCGAAGCATGGGGGAAGGCAGTTCCATTCGGAAGAAGTTTTTGGGTAAGAAGGAACTGTAAAAGGAGTTATAGTCTTACATGTTGGTACATATACTTTGCAAGATATGTCATTGATAAGCAAGGACAAGTTACAATTCTATGTGAAACTCTCATTGCTTTGCATTTATTAATATTCAGCTTCATCTGCCACGTGTCAAACAAGGTCGTAATAGCATGAATATTAAATTGGATCATGTGAACATCAGAGTTGTTAATGATTTTGCAATAAACAACCCAATCATATAGGCAAACAGGCCTATGGACGTGGTAATATGAGGTGGTAAGTCGTTAATATAGACCCAAACTAAGAGAGGAACAAGGACAGAGCCTTGAGGCACGCCAGAATTAATGGGAGTCGACGTTGAGTTATGGTCATTAACAGTAACAAATTGTGATCGGTTAGTCAAAAAAAACATTCTAGCCACGTTAAAATGTTGGGATCGATACTGATATGATGATAAACAGACTATACAAGAAAGTGGTTAAGCGCCCCTTTAACATGCAACAAAAATTTCAGTTCCATAGTGACCACCGTAACTACACTTCCAACGTCGGGGACCTTCACTGAAATGTATGAAATTTATTTTTCACCAAGCTAGGTAAGATCCAAGGATGTAGCGTGACATCTCGTCAACTGTTCTCCTTTTGCAAAATAATGCTTTTACATATGTGTATTTTTAACCAGAAGGCCCTTTTTGAGCCTTAATACCTTCCGCAGTGGACACTGCACCATGAAGCGGCAGAAATTTCCACCAGAACCAATGGTGGAACTCCCCGACATGGCTTCAGAGGCCTCTACTCACTGTGGCATCGGTAAACAGTCTGCAGCTTTCCAAGAATGTCGTCTTGCCGCTGCCAATGTTTCCTTCGACGGCAATCTGCACGCACGGTGACCAGGGGTAGTTCAGGGAGGGGGTCACGGTATAATGCAGAATGTACAGATCTGCTTTGCTTCGCACCCAAACGGCAACTCCATCACAGCTGTGAGGTTCCATAGCTCCAGGATGCATACTGACATAGAGAATCCCACTAGCTGCCTTGCACACAACTATGCCCCGTTTCACGATAACTGTAGAGGCTGGAGCCCCGTGACCCGATAAGAGCATCACAGCAAGTCACGTGATAACACCCCAAGGTCCAGGCAACCGAGGCTTCGTTACAGCCACAGCAACCGTGCCACATACGAGAAAAAGTAGGTCTAGGTTTCATTTTCTTTTAATCGTAATTGAACTCGAGCAATTCCATCTCTATTGAGAATAAATAAACAAATAAATATTGAAAAATTTATGAGTTTCAATTATATTTAAACCAAAAAAATGACGTCACATCTGTATCGGTCCCAATTTTTTCTTCCTTGTAGCGCCGTGTAATTGCCCGCTTCCACTTAGAATATCGCCTGGCATTAGCACCCGCCACAGTTTTGCAGGTAAATTGGGCGTACGGTTTGCTCACAAACTGTTCCCGAAGGGCTCTAGCGGACTGCAATGTTGCAGCGGTGGACGTTCATCCCAAGTTGGTTGGCTTCGCAGCAGACAACACTTGTCCAGCAGATGACAGCCGGTTCCTTGGCGCAGTGACACACACGCTCCCGTGACATGGTGTCATGTGCCTCACTCCGACGCTCTTGTTGGGTTGCTCCAGAGCTCGCCAAGTTATCGTTCTGCCCCACTTACTACACGTGAATACTGACTCTCAACTCGAGTTTCTTGTAGTCTCCTGCACCGCCCTTACTCCAAACGTCCCACCCTCTCTTTCGTGCAAGTTTTCTGTGCTCAAAGTTAAAAAATATTTGTTTGAAACTTCTAGACATCACTGGGAAGTATATTGAGCCCCCTAAAATGTGACAAAAACAATCTTTAGAACAAAATTGTCTTGAATGTCAACCTTCGGGACCATCAAGGTTGACATTGCACACTGCTGCCGTGGGTAGACAACCATGAGAGCAGTGTGCAATGGCTGCCTGAGCCCCCCACAAGGATGAGTTTGATCATTTTCAGATAGCAAGTCAGCTTCAGCCAGGAGTATATGCAAGTTATCATTTTGTAAGAAATACAATGTTGATACATCACAAACATGAGTTTTTTGCACCCTGCTTATATGAGTAACGTTCAACACCGAGCTTTACCACCTCGGTTACTATATCTTTTATCACGTTTTCAGCTATAAAACGAAATGAAAAAGAAAAGGCCACCACTTGTTCATGCTTTTTGTGTTGTACTTTGCTTCATGTCTGAGGCAAGCAAGAGGGAACCTCCAATTCAGCAGCAGGGCTCCAAAAACACTGGGCCTCGTGTAGATGTCCTTTGACTCAGAAAATGAGAATCGCATTGCAACTGCAGAGTATACATTGCCGTTGTGCCACAAATTTGAAAAGCCCTCTCGACTGTATTCACACCAGCGTCCCACTTGAGGTCCAACCACTCCTTGTGAATGCGGCCTTTCTAATGCAGCCCTTCAGCACGTCCCCCCGACTCGCCCAGCCCAACTAATGCCACAGAGAGTGGAAACCAGACTCACTGTGACTTGTTGCCCCTTCTCTGCTGCATTCTTCAGGGTGGCATCACTCAGGATATCTAAGAAACAAAAAAAGCTGCATATTAGGGGAAAAAAAAATCTTTGCAAGAAAAAAAATATATCTTAAATTTGTTTGTAAATATAGATGCATACTTTTTGTCTCTAAGATGAACCTAAGAAGAGCTCTGTGACTGAACAAACAGGGATGAGATTCAGCTGTAAGACCTACAAACTACGCCAAATTCCAGCAATGTAGTGGACTAATTTGATCGAAAACAAAATAAAACAAATCTCCTGCCCTCCTATAGACAAAGCACGGCATCCAGGCTGCAGTCGGGGCTCAGACCTTGCTGGAAACTCGCTAAATTTGTGGGAAAAACAATGCCAAAAGCCCGGTGCATGAAGAAACCAAACCTACGCAAGAACAGAGAACACTGCCAAACAAACTTCCTAACCTCCTGCCCAAAATGCTGAGAACAAACTCGTGGACATCATTAATCTCATGTTTTGAAGTACTGGAGTAAAGACATTGCGGCTGGATATCTCTCCTGCCTCAAGAGATGCGCGAGGAAACCTGCCAAACTGAGAGGGACCTTCTTGACTGTTGTTCAGCTGGGACCACTGCAACAGGGGAAAGAATTTGCACTCTCCAATCACTTATGCTTGGCTGCAAAATCCCAATAGACCAAATGCCTCAGGTCATTCACTGTCTCCTTGAAAAGTGAATCCAGGGACATTAGCAAAAATGGGACGGACAAAGCAAACACTTACGCGCCTTTTGCCCTTCAAGAAAATGGCACTGAAATTGTTGAGCCAGCCATATCTGCCTTAGAATTTTTCCATATATTTCGTCATGCAAAACACTACAAAACTCAGCAATTATCTAGCTCACGAGAAACACATGGAAATGTGTAGAGGGCAGAGTGTAGAACCGAAATTTTTATCGGTTTGGTTCGGGTTTGTGGCTTTTGGTTCGTTCTCCTTTAGTTCTGGGAAGCAAAGATAACGGTTCAAACCTGTTCGAACCAGTTTCAAGTGCTAAAGTGAGAATATATTTTCCGAATTGTTCTGGCAATAGGCACTATTTCTGCTGTGAAACTATTAACTAACTATTTTTTTCTATCGGTCGTACAATCCACTTTTTATTTTCAAGTACCAAAACTATAAAATTCCGTTATTTAATTTTTATGTAACAGTAAAAGAAAATCCAGATTAACATACAAAACGACATGCTTATATGACTCAAAATTCCTTTATTTTCCAAACACATAAATTTTATGTGACTCAAAAAGTTGTCGCGAACTGTGGTAGGTCACCCAAAATACACGACGCAGTATTAAAAGTTAAATCGCAGCTGTGTCCTTGAGACGGAATTAATTACAGTGCATAAAATAACGAAATGGACACCTCGTCGCCATATATAAACAGGGTGTTTCACGAAAGGTGAACAAATTCAATATTACGAAAACTGTGCATTGCAACAAAAAAAGGCTCGCGTCGTTTTGGTCCTAGGCCAGGGGGCCTATTTAGGAAAATTATTAAAGTTTGGGATAAATAGATTGTTACTTATTTTTGTAATTATTTTTTAAATATAAATATTGAGTTTAAGGGCATGGTTTTAATTAGAATCTTGCTGCCCCAGGTAGAAATGCTTCCAGTCCAGACTGCGTTATGAAACCGGAAATGGACTACGGCTGGAGCTGGAAATCTATTTCACCAGCCGAATTCCAGGCTGTTTCTACCCAGAAATGGACAAATTTCTTGATGGAAATTAGATTTTCCCTCATCTAGCTGAGAACCTTCCAGGCGGATCATGTACTTCCAAGCTGGAACAATTGGTGCTCCAGCTGGAATTTCTGATTTCCAGCATGTGCAGCATCCATCTCCAACTGTAAACAGGATTTCCAGCTGCCGCTGTATAATTTAGCCAAAAAAGCGGCTGGAAATCTTTATTTCCAGCTGGAAGCTGCAGCTTATTTTCATGTGGGTGAACATCATTGAAAAACACTAAATCAACAAATTGCAGAATGATAGAAGGCACGCGCAGTATTTTGCGACCTTCTAAAAAATCGCACAACTTCCGACGGGTTGTTATGTTTCGGTTTGCAATCGGAGCGCTCCTCGGCACCAACGGCACTGCGCCCCGTGGGAAAATAGTGCAACCAGCCTCTGTTGCGTTTCAAGGTGGAAGTGCAGGCCAGCACACGTGTCAAGGGTTTCTAACAGCACAGTTGCTTCAGAGCACATCCGTGTAATTAAGCGAACTGACTGTAACAGATATATATTGTTGCAGAAGAAAACAAAGCGACAAACGTCAAAGAGAAACTAAAAATTTAATCGGCAAACTTGAGCCTCAAAACCAAAGAAAGCTTGAGGAGAGTCGAGCAGTGAGCGACGGTGCGTCGGCGTGACAGCTGGCTGAGAGTCGACAAAGCCGCGCTCAGCTCCAATGTACACTCGGCATCTCGAGCATTCGAAGACGTATGTTAGTGAGCTAGGCCGAGACTGACTAGGCAAGGTTATTCTGGCCTCCTTATCTTTTTTACAATCAAGGTAAGAGGAAACTCGAATCTTCTAGAGGCACGGAGAAGCGTTCCTTCTCAGTCATGCATGCTTGGGGTCTTACTTAAAACTGAATAATCGGTAGAATTTTTCTCAGTTTGATGATTTCAAGGCAGGCACGAAAGAGACACCCATATTGCGAGCATGAAAAACCAAGTTTGGGGTCTCGAACCGCTCATGTTAGAGTGAAAATAGTTGCTCTTTCATTACAATGCACGTTAACCTTATAATCAGGAAGAGGGCCCGACGCTGCTTTGATATTGTGTTCTAAACAGATGCTTTTCTAGCTGTATTTTTAACAGATCTCTATACGTGTGATGAGTTTCGACAGACAGTATCCCGTACCGCACGCAAATGCAATTGGTTTTTATAAACCTGATTAGTTTTCTTAAGCCTGCAATTTCCCAAATCATTGCAAAATCAAAATCGCATCATTCTGCAAACGATTCAAACTGTCGCAGATGGCATACTTCCGTTATTCGTGCGCGTTCGTCGAGTGTTTGTCGTCTGCAACAGGCATCTCGAGATGTCTCGAGGACCGGAAGCTGCCTTCGCAAATATTTCAGAAACAGCCGATTCTAGACAAACTTCTGTCAGTGTGAAATCTAGGCTCCCTATGTCTATTCTTTTTAGACGTTTAAATTCCCCGTCCGATTTTCGACCGATCGTTCTTTCGGAGCACCATCGTTGCACTGGCTCCCACGTCCGAGCAGGTGAGCAGTTCCCCACTTTTTCAAGGCATTTGTTACCGCGCATGAACGCGCTAAAAGGAATCGTCTGAGCAAAAATGCGGAATGCTGAGCAGCGGGCAGACGATGAGAAACAAAAATCGGGCGTACCTAGCAAACGCAGGGGTCTTGAAGTACGGATCAACTTTTTTACGACTTTAGGAATAAACATGAATGATATCCTACAGTTGTCTTCGCTGTTCGCAAGGTGTGCTGCACCTGCACGTGCGATAAGCTCCCATTCGTGCAACCACTCGGGCCTGGTGAGCAGAGCAGAGCAGAGTGCGTAGTGCGTAGCCGTAGCCGTAAAGCATGTACCATAACGTAGCCTACCGGCCAGCTTGCCCACTGTACCAATGTGCGTTTGAACGCACATTAACCAGCATTGAAACGCGAAAACCAGCCGCAAAGCAGCAGAAGCCTAGCAAAGCAACACGAAAATCGGGCAAAAAATAAACAAAAAAAGAAGCTACATTATTTATTTTTTGACTCTAGGTAGCGCAAGCTACCACCCATCCTTCCAAGCACAGAGGCGCTGCCGTGCGGTTTCGGTTTTGGTTTCGCTGTTCCGCCATGTTGATTTTCGTACAGTCTACGGCGTCTACGGATACCAGGGAATTTAAATGGCGCTGCCGGCGCAGCAGACTCCCAGGGTTTACCATCGTTGTCAAGGAGGTTAGAGAAGTACTAGGAGGGTGCACGTTGCAATATTGGTGAAGCCTAGTCATAAAAAGTTTAAACGATTTTGTGCCCAGCGTGACTGCAGATCTGTCTGGCGATTGGTGCGCGTGACATGTCACGTGTGAGATGGATGGTTGATTGTAGAAAGACTCTTTGCAGGCTTGCGCGCGCTCCGTCCGGTAGGTTTTATCAGATCGAAGGCTAGACTGTGGTGTCTTCTAGTACCCCATAGCAAGACGAAGGCTAGCTACGGTCACGTGATGTGGTCACGTTGGCATGGTAAGTGAGGAGAGTAAGGAGGAAAATGAGAAAGAGGCGAGGCGTCAAGGGAGCATGGCTTGTGGAGGCTACGCGGCCGACGTCAAGCCCTCTCCTACCCTTCTATTCTCCATGATCGTTGGTTGTAGCCAGTTTGATGATGTGAGGGTGAGAGAGAGAGAGGAAAGCCTCTTTTGCTTGTACGAATTTTTGGTGATGGGAAGCAAAGCGATGCGAGTTCAGAGTTCACAGGAGAGGGTGTCCGGAAAGGGGGAGATTTTCTCCTTCCCCTCCTTTTCAACTGCTCGTGTTTCGCTCTCGCCCCTGTACCTTTGACCACAGTGCCTTTGACAACGCTTTGAACCACGTGAAGTGCGTGAAGTCAGTAGAGTCGCGCAGTTTCAGTTTAGTCTACGGAAGGGCGAGGTTGTCAGTTTGCGCACAGGAATCGGAATCTCGAAAAGCTATAGTAATCGAGAGAATACCACTGCAGTTAACGCCAGAAATCGCAAATGGCAGCGTCTTCCAAGTCTGCGCTCTTCGTTTGCCGCGGTAACTGAAACTGCATGCTTGCCTGTCGTGCGTGTAACACACTCCGGTGATTAATTTCTACCTTTGCAGGAAACATCTGCCGATCTCCGATCGCAGAGGCAGTCTTTCGCCAAGTTGCCAAGCAAAGAGGAGTCCTGGCTGAGGTACCAAATTTTTGCCCTTCCAACAAATGTGCGCGACAATTGTCAAGAACGTAACTGAAACTAAACTGTACGTCGGCACGTGCGCGACAATTGTCAAGAACGTAACTGAAACTAAACTGTAGGTCGGCACGTGCGCGACAATTGTCAAGAACGTAACTGAAACTAAACTGTACGTACGTCGGCACGTGCGCGACAGTTGTAACTGAAACTAAACTGTCGGCGCCTCGCCATTGAATACAATGGAGGGCAGTTGAACTTTTTGTGACTTATTGGAACGCACCTTCGCAGTGGAACATCGACAGTGCAGGTACGGACGGCGAGCACGTAGGCAGTAACCCAGACAGGAGAGCGGTCCAATGCATGAAGGACCACAATGTCGAAATGGACCATCGGGCCAGGCAGGCAAGTTCACAAGGCACTGCTCAGGAAACGTTTACGCTGAGAAAGTGCGAATTTTGTTCACCAGGTCACACTCGACGACTTCCGCGACTTCCAGTACATCTTCGCCATGGATAACGCCAACATGAATGACCTGACAGATATGGCGCCAGAGAGCTCCAAGGCCAAAATCGAGCTCCTTGGCAAATATGATCCCGAAGGCCAGGCAACAATCCATGACCCTTATAATGTAAGGCATTGTTTCTTCATCTCTTGCACCCTTAGTTAATTCAGTGATGTGATTGCTGCGCCAAGGGGCTAACCCTGCTACATCCTGCCACATTTTGCCATAATATGGGTAATCTGCGCCAAAGGACCAATTTTGGTCGCCTTTGAAAACCGAAACTAAACTGAGTACAGTAATTGAGCACACATGAGCTAGGTGGTGCAAGCGGCCATCCGTCACAAAGTACCCTGCATCAATCGTTCATCCGGTCTTGCATAATTCCGCCGTCTCTCGTCTCGCGTATTTTTTTTTTTTTTTTAATTTCAATAATAGACGTGGGCGTGTGCGGACGCTCCGACGCTAGCGTGCTGGGTACCAGCCATGCCGTCATGCTGTGAAACGAAACCATGTTTTTGCGCGGCGGGGGTTACTTTATGGGCTGAAGCACTCGCTCCTGAAAGCAACGGCCGTGGCCAAACTATATTTGGTCCCTGCCTGCCAGCCACCTTGGTCGCGCGGCGTCGGGTGTTGCAGACCCTACGTCACTGCAGTTGTGGCACTTTCTAAACTGAAACGTGAGGACACCCTCATGTTCAGCAACAATCCTATTCTTGTTTAATACACTACTACAAATATCCCTTTAGCTCAAAGACTGCTGTGTCGAAGTATTGATTGCCTAGGTTTCTCTCGGTAGGTTTTTTTTTTCGAGACGTACCCCGGTACCTGAAAAATCAGCCGCGAAAGGTGTTGGTGAAGAAAAGTGAGATAAAGCAAAGAAGGCAATGTCCGCATGCTGAACCCGCACAGCGTGCTTGGTTAACTCGAGTTCAGTCGTTGCACAAAGCGCTCCAAGAACTTTTTGACCCTGGTTCGCGATGTCTTGCATCGATGCACTCAGGTTCTTTTTTTTTTTTTGTGTGTGTTTAGCTTGTACCTCGCCTGCCGGCCTGGCAAGCACGTGCCGCTGGACTGTTTTTTTTTTTTTGCCGTATGTCGGACAGTTACTTTTTGCATACAATTTTGGGAATTAGTTGGAGACGGAGCGGAGTGGCATGGTCGCGATCACTGATGGTTGCGATCGAACAGCAATCTTCGCTCGCGCGACAATTTCGCATTGCACGGCAGTAGTTAGATGTTTCATCTGTTGGAGACTGCTTCCATTTATTATATTACTAGTCAACCTAATGATGTGATAATAGAGAGTTTTAGTAGCTCGGGTTTTTGGGCCACGCTACTTGTAGCGGGAGCTCGCGCTACCCCTTCGATATGCTCCGAAGCGCGCGCCTGTAGCGGTAGCGGGCCCATGAAAACGATCTACTAAAACTCTCTATTTACTACTAAGCTGGTCATTTTCAAATAGATTTTAATATGTGCAGTTCGGTCCGATATATTCGTATCATTTAACCAAAGCATTGCAAAATGTGTTTATGTCATTGGCATTTCAGTTACATGTCGAAAGACTCCCGGGTTGTCTATCTTGACAATAATTGGTTGATTGCGGCGAGCAATCTGTCCTTCGTTTGTCCACCACTTGAAACTAATCTTTTTTTTTTTTTTTTTCTAAAAATATTTGTTTTAAAAGCCACTTTCGCTGCTCCGAAACACTGTTTTAGCTGCTCCAAAAGCCAGTTTTGCTGCTCCAGAACTCTGTTTTGGCTGCTCCAGAAGGTGCTCCAAAACGGCTTAGGCCAATCACATCATTGTTAATTAAATCTCGTAAGACACCGCCCCACACTTTTCTGCAGCAGTGCAGGACGTGTAGGTAAATCAAACGCAGCTAATATTATCATTAAAAGGCTTCAACTTTGTGTATTAGGTAGAGGTTAGCTGTTACTAGAAAACACTGACAAGATGGCACTAACTGCTGTCCAGGTTCAGGCGTGTGCGTCCACCCATCCACCTTTGCCGGGCGGACTTTCCTGTTTTCATGCTTTCTCGATGCAAACCCATGTTCCTCGGGATAGTCTTGTGACATGTAGAGGTGCACTGTTACATCACCTGCACAAGCTACGTCTACTAACGAGTTCATTATATTTTGAGTCGCATCGCTCTGCTCCTGTGCCTGTCCGTTCTTGGAACGCAGTGTTTCGCAGAAAACCTTGGAAGAGCCTTCTCCCTGCCTTGTTACAGGACAGCGGAAGCCAGGACTTCGAAGAGGTGTACGCCCAGTGCCTCCGCTGCTGCAACGCATTCTTTGACCAGCTCGGCGGCTGAGTGCCACCCTGGGCCGTTTGGCAGCGCAGGCGAGCCTTTCCTCCCGCTGCCAGTGTTTCTTGACATACTCACTGTCGTTAAAGCACCGTTTGTACAAGGTGCCCAGGCTGCCTGTCGACGCAAGCAGCTGTCGGCCTGTTCCAAGTTGAAGATTTTTGAATAAACATTATTTTCTTGCAGACCTGCACTTCACTTACTGGAACTAAAAGCTGCTTCAGACATTATCATGCTCGAGTGTTAACCGCCAACTCCTCACTTTGCACTACGACATATATGACAATATGTGTCGTAGCAATAAGTATTTAAACTCCTTAAAAGCCCCCTCTCGCCACGGATGGGGGAACTAACTAGGTAAGTTATTAAAACGAGATATTTCAAACGGGCAGCTGTTTATTTTTGCTCTATAATATTATAAATGATACGAAATAGTTGCAAAACGGCACATGCAATGACGCAGTTGTTGAGGGATATTTGCGAATAGATAAGGTAGAACATACAGTTTGGATATAATTGCAATATTAATTTTATTGCAAATTATTATTAGCCTTCAAACCATGTGCATAAAAAGCAAAGTAGGTAACGGCAGCTTTCAAGAATGGAGCTGTGGTTGGAGGTGCATTAGATCTACCCACTGATCTCTGTCATTGAGATCGGTGGATTTACCCGTCATTTTCTCATAGATTAACGTTGTGACGTAGTACCTGGTCAGTTTTCTGGGAGGTATGTTCAAACTAGAGTTCCTGTATAGGCTCCCTACGGCAGCTGGAGTTTCGCGTCTGTTTTCCACACTGATCTCTGGTTTTCCACGTGCCGCCGCGCCGCTATTCGCCGAGATATGATCACGTGAGGAGCCGGGTCAAGTGTCGTGCAGGAAAGAAGACTTCGCGCGCGCCCCAGCGTACGTTCCCCTGCTTTTGAGCGCGCCGCTTTCCTCGAACGCACGGCGCCGCTATTCGCCGAATTCAGTCACGTGAGGAGCAGACTCCGCACGCCGTGCAGGGAAGCCGAACGACGCACGGACGAGCCATGGGGACGAGCAGAGGCCATGCTGAATGATGTTGAGGCGACGGCGTGCAGGCAAGCAGCCACACGGCAGGCCGTGGCAGGCGTCATTTCTCACGTGATTGTTGTGACGTATTAAATTAAAACTATTTAGTCGTTTGCTGGGTAAGCGGAGCAAGCCACCGATTCCGCAAAACCGGCAAAACTACCAGCATGGCCTCCGAGATCCCTAAGCGCGCGAACGCTTCTAGCACTTCTAGGGCGTAATCGGAAAAAGGGAAGGAGGCTGCGTGTCTCCGCGGGTAGGCGCTTCCAACCCAGTCATCGACAGCATGGCGCGATGCTGAAGAGTTCAAGGATAAGTCTTGTTACGTCGAGTTACTGCAACTTATACTTACAAATTTTTGTGTATTGTGGTAGAACGGTGAACAGCTGCTCTGGGGACCTAGATAGAAAATTTGTGATGCTTATTTAATTATCTAATTTGAGATATTCATCTGGACATGTTGCGGCTAGCGCTACACGCGCCTTTTGATATATTTGAATGTAATCTGTAGCACGTATAAAACAAAAAAAAAGCTCCGCATATAAAAACATATTAGTATTTCCCTAAATAAAAATATTCATGCTGCAATATTTTTTTTTTTTTTTTATCTTCGCACGTTGTTTGGCGTAGCTTTTTGAGCCTCACGAGGTTGGTTGCGCCCTCTTATGGTTTCCATCCGTGACGGCACGACTGGGATTTGCCTCGCCGTGACGTCACCAGCTGTTACCCTGATTACTTACCTTCAGGTGTGACGACGAGTTCGATGGTGTGTTTAAAAAGCACAGTGGAAGCTAAGAGCCATCGCAATCCGAAACTAACACCGTCAAAGTTGACAATCTAACAACGCTCGTATGCCCATCGTTTGGCCAATCATGGAATGCTGACCGCAGCGACGCTTTTGGTCGCGCACATCACTAATAGTGAAGCCCGTGTTTTCATTCTTTTAATATTTTTAATATTACGCAATTTTTGCGGGTCGTATTGCGGTGTTTGCTTCTACTAGTAAGCCGGAATCACCTTATACATTATACAAAAGACAGTCTGCAGATATCAGTCACCACGATATCCGTGGTTGAAATGCTGCGTGCCAACTGTCTTAAGGTCTGTTCACACGATGCATCTTTTAGGCGCGCAACAGTTTCGCGACACTCAAGTTTCGCGAAATGTGCTCGTTATCACGTACCGCTTCACGTGCAACAACGATGACGTTTTGACTCGCGAAAATAGTTTGGGTGTTGACTATAAAGTGGCGCTTCAGTTGAAAGCCAACATCATCATCATCACAATTAGCCATTCAGCGTCGTGTCATTTACTTCAATTTACTTAATTTACTCTTAAATTGTCATTTACCAGTTGTTGAATTGTCATTTACTGCCATTTACTTTATTTACTGTTGAATATGTATAATTTGGATGGAGGTTGACAAAGAAGAAGACTGTTGTGGAAGTAAATGAGAGCTGTACGCTGTGCTGGTTTGAGACGGTACTGTGTACGTCCCTTTTTGTTTCCTTGTCTCAAGGTTTTATTTCTTAATTATGACTAAAAATAGACACGAATTATCATCATCACCGATTAGGTCTTCGTCCATCTCTGGATTTTTTTCCGATATGCTACTCACTTTTCCTTCAGTGGTGCTTGACGTGCTTGCGGAAGCGCCGGCAGTATCCATCGTTCGTGGTTTCGTTTTTTTTTTTTTTCGGATTTGGCTCGGCTACAACACCGGCAGTGAAGTGGTCTTCTCAAACAGCTTGCTCCCCCCTCAAAGGCCACGTGAGAGCGTTTCTGAGCGGCCATTGGCGGCGCCCTCAGAGTGATTGACAGGTCTCGGCAAAGTTTCAGCAAAAGCTCGCTCCAGAAGCGAGGTGTGCGCGCAACCTTTTTTAGATGCGCGCGTCCTTTTCGGACTCGTTCAGACGGCGCAACCATTTCGCGAAACTACGTTTCGCGACACTAGATGCGCGAGAAAAATGCATCGTGTGAACGGGCCTTAATTGAACTTGCTGCCTTGCGGCATTCGAAGCTCAGATCTCGTGGTGACTCGAGTTTGAATCTGTTTGCAGACTGTCTTTTGTATGATGTACAAGCAGCGTGACCCCGGGTTTGGGGGAAAACCTTTGGTGGTGAGGTGCAACCACCTCGCAATGATTTCGCCATTTTTCTCTTTTATAAACTTTGTGATAATTGTAGGCACTCATTGAAAAGGTGGGGCGTTATCTTGTAAACGTCTAGTATTTGGCACATATGTAGCACGGACCACCGTATCCCGTAATATGTGATGCAGCTTAATCGATATGCAAACAATGGGATCTCAAGAAAAGGAACTCTGGTTTATCCGCTATCCATTTCCGACAGCCGGCGCAGCCCGACCCGAAGCTAATTTTCACGGGCCAGCTGCGCTTTATTTTACCCCAGTATGAATAGCTCACTAATTGCGTGGCATGGCAGCTCGCTTGCAACTGCTACACATAAGTTTATTACGATACCCAATAGTAAATACTGTAAGCATTTTTTTTTTTTGCTGCTATTATTAGTTCGACCAATCTGCAGGCCTAGGCAGCTTGTTAAAAAAACCACCCAATCTTCCTGTTCTGAGACCAAACACGCGCGGAAAGGACGAAAAAAAAAAAAAATGACAAGCAGAAGTAAACAAAACCACGTGTCACAGTTGGAAAGGAAGGGAGTCAAGGGACACATCGCAACGGCTTTGTACAAAGGACGGGAAAAGTTCGAAATTAGCCGCTTTCGCTATGCACAACCGTAAAAGAAAAAAAAACAACAACAAAAAAACCAGCAATGTCGTTGTTTTTTGCGGTGGTCTGCGAGAAATTGTTCAGGAAAAGTACCCCTCCGAGGAAACCTCTTCACCCCTATTGGGCATGCAAGCACTCGTGCGTACATATGGTTTACGCTGGCGAGGGTAGGTATGTGCGTGTTTGTGGTGAGAAGCGATTGTATGATGGGCGACGGCGCCGCCGGGGACGAAAGGAACGCCGCATCGCTAGTCCTCTGCAAGAGCATTCGCTGCACACACCGAACCATACAGACAAACACCCGCACACACAAGCTTCAGCATCTGTTTATCCCTCACTGTGGTTCCTCTCCCAACCCCCGAACACAATTCCAAAAAACAAGCCGTTAAAAAAAAGAAGTAATGGCCGGTTTGGCTTGATTTGGTCCCCCTTGTAGACGTGAGTGCAAGGCCCGTACGCGGCCCGGGCCCTTCATGAATGTTGACGTGAAGCCCGAGCTCGGCCCGAGGGCCGGGCCGGCCCGTGACCCGCGGTCTGGCCCGTACCAGTGCAGATCTCTACTGTCTCTACCAGCCGAGTGCAGCTGTAGCCTCCACCATGGTAAGGAAAAACTAGCGCCACGAGGCGCTAGTGGCAGGAAGGCGAACATACGTCTGGTCGGAGATTAAAATTGGACTCGAAAGACTGCCAGATGGCGCCACCACTGCCGTTGGCGTGCGCTGGCGTGCGCCGTGCGCCCTCCTCCTCCTCCCCCCCCCCCTCCCCCGGTTTCTTTTTTTTTTTTTTTTTTTTTCTGGTTTGTTTGTTAGACTGGTGCCGCGCCGGCCGCTGTGAGCGGCCAGCACGGCACCGGTCTAGCAGACGAGCCGCGCGCGATACACTTCACAACAACTGCGCTTCACGTGATAATACCAGTGCAATCAAACAGAAACAGCACGTTCATTGAAATGCATTTTTTTATTGAACCCCATTCAAATGAGTTGCGGTATTTCAAACCCGTATCTACAAACTCCGTTGGCAGTCCACCGCCCTCAAAGGGGAATCAAGAACTGTAGTAGGCACTAAACACAGTAAAGTTGTCAAATATGTAAAACGAAATTAATTACTTCAACGTACAAACTAAGAGAAAAGCACTTATCATCGAATTATCTAAATGGCTCTATAAACAACTCCCACAAACTGAACTTCTGAATACCCAAACAAACAAATCAACCCCGAAATAAAGGAAAAGGCTTGCAGGTGAGCTGCATAAGAATAAACGATAAATAAACCATAAACAAACTCGCTAATAGGCAATGCAATTAAGAAAGAAAGAAAACAACTACTGTTTTGGAGTGACTACATCTCTGACTGTAGGTGCACGTGCTTTATCGGTACTCTATCCTAACATATAAACACGAAGCTGTCAAATTAACTGAAAATTGCTCTGACAGCAACTCACCCAGAGGAGCAAGTCCTTGCAGCAACGGATTCGTAACAAGAACGGTGGGGCACGCGTTTTTCCACAAACGAATCTTCCTACAACTTGCAAACACGGTAGCGCCGAAGCGCTCGCTGCACAAACAACACTGGCGCAGCTTGCTCGTCGGCAAGGCGGGCAGGCTTCCAAAGTCCTGGCGATTTGCATACGCAATCCATTTCGATGCACTGATAGAAAAATCGAATTTCAAACGCTCCTGTCGTCTGTTGGAAAGCGGAAGAATGAGCACTCCGAGTTACTTCGCCGCGCTGTAGACTCCGTAAAACGCCGTCATGAGGCAAGCAAAACACTCGGCAGAATCTCTGTCAAATTAGAGACGTACATCTCTAATTATTATAAGCGCGCAGCAGCGTCGCACCGTACTTGCCGTAAAATCCGCACTTTCGATTTTAGCACGCGCGGAACGGTTTGAAAGCTTGGAGTGACGAGCGAACGTAAACAAAACAAAAAAGACAAAAACGGTCGTTTCCCTTCGCTCTTACTGATTGGTCGGAAGAGCCCAGAGTGCTTCGCTTTCGGTAGCGAAGATCATATACACGTCGCCTGCGCTGAAAATCATAGCGGCGAATATGAGCATAACAGTTTGGTCGGAGTCGGCTGGGTAGACCTACGAATCTGCTCTTTGGATGGACGTACGAGAGAGAAGCCAGCGACGCGGCGCCCCTATCGGCCCACCCGGGAACTCCGGAGCTGCATTCGGCTGTCTCTACCTTCAACGTTTACGGCTCGCCCCTTGTTATGACTGTTATGACTGGGCAGACAGCGCCGCCTCGCGGTGAGCGACGGAGTTAACGCAATTACAGTCTTCTGCTGGGGAGCGAGACGAATGGGACGGCCGGAGAAGCCTTCGCGCGCGCGCTTCGGGATCTCGACTTTTCTTGGCAATGCAGTGGAAGGTACGTCCGGCGTCCCCTCCTCCTCTCCCCGGAAATGGGGGAGGAGAAAAGCTTGCGCACACTCAAAATGGGAGAGGGTACGCAGGACGTACCTTCCACTGCATTGCCAAGAAAAGTTGTCGCGGAGTATACCAGAGAAACAGTGTTGGTTTTCACTATGAGATGGCGCTGTAGGTCAAGCAAACCGTTATCATCATCATTGGCTTGGTTCTATCCGTTCTATCGCCCGGCTTCATTTTACGACTCGCTAAAATGCTAAAAATCCGGCCGTGACGCGCACGACTGAGCTAGCATTCGGCTGTACCGTTGGAAATTTTAGAACAGTTCGTTTCGTTCCAAAAACGACTTGCTCAAACTCCCTATTTTAATAATGTCAACCTTTGACCTGACGAGGCCGGCCGACTGCTCGGAAAGCGAGGACGACGAAGACTACGTTCCCTCCGGTAAGCATCTGAGCACTAGCATGTTTCATCGGGGTGCCATTGCTTTTCCGCGCGGCACATTTTGGCGTTGTTCTCAAGTTTTGAGTTCTCAAGTTTTGAGTTCTCAAGTTTTGAGCAGCGCTCCAGCCGATCGAAATAGAATATTTGGCTTGGGTTTCGAACATCACTAGAGTTTTTTTTCTACTCCGTTCAATTCTAAGTGCCAGCGTAGCAGAGGCTACAAGAGCGAGCTGCGAGCTGTCAGCGTCCCTGTCAAGCACGCGCGCTCGTGCAGTGCGAGCATCTTTCAGGAGGACGTGCTTTTGCGAGTAGCTTCGGCTTCCCTATCACGTAAAGTGAAACATACGTGCTCGCGGAAGCTATGAAAGAAGGCAAAGATGAAAAGAATGTTTAATGGGACGCTGCGGCCACGAGCTGCATAATTCTTTTTCGAACGTTCGAATTTCGAACGTGGCACGTGCAAAATCGAACGTTACAGAGCCATCTGGATTGTTCAGCACGAGCTGCATAATTCTTTTTCGAACGTTCGAATTTCGAACGTGGCACGTGCAAAATCGAACGTTACAGAGCCACCTGGATGAGCATAGTTGTAAACCCGAGACTGGAGATACGGACAAGGGACAAAACACAGAACGACACGGACGAAGTCTCAAAAGCTGCGTTTGAGACTTCGTCCGTGTCATTCTGTGTTTTGTCCCTTGTCCGTATCCCCAGTCTCGGGTTTACAACTATGCTCAATTTACATCAGCTAGCCTGCACCCTCACCATTGCTTCACCACCTGGATTGTTCAGCACGAGCTGCATAATTCTTTTTCGAACGTTCGAATTTCGAACATTCGAACGTGGCACGTGCAAAATCGAACGTTACAGAGCCACCTGGATTGTTCAGCCATCATAACATGGTCGCGTCTTGCGGATGCGCTCGCGCCCCCTGCCCAGAGCTACGGGTCCATTTTTCGGATCGTCGGAAGTTTTCGCGTGCTGGTGCTCTGTGGGTTACTCCTGATTTAGGCTGAGGCTAGGGTTCCGTCCAGAGTCACCACTAGAGTTGTTCTCAGTGGGCCCAAAAAAGCTCGTCAATGATCAAAGACAAACACGACCAGCCCCGTCCGAATCCAAGCACGATCTGTTTGAATCACGAGCCCCTCCTGGCGGTATCACGCGGGCACGCCAGAACGTGCGGCACGGAGGCGCCGGCTTTTGGCGCCGCTTCGGGTTCACGAGCTGCATCCTCTACCTATACCTTTTTTTTTTTTAAATTATTATTACAGTAAAGCCTAAAACAATCACTACCATTCCCCTTTTCCCTCTCAGATGGGGTAAAATCTAGTGGAAGTCGTCCTTCGTGCAGACAAAGTTACGAAAATTCTGGGGAAAGAAGCGCCTCTTGACAACTTGTCGCACAATTCAGAGTTCAGAACATGTTCAAAGCAAAATCTAGGAAAATCGCCAGTGACTGTGGCTTGACTGTGGGCAATCCAAAATTCAAAAACTGAAAAAAATAAAAAAAAGAGTCCTGTGAATACACGAAGGAACACAGTTCATTTCGTTTTGCCGTGTCCAAAACGTGGAGAAAAAGGAAAAGAAATCACTGCGCCTCAAGTTTTGTTTGGTTATTGGTTAGTAATCTTAGACATGTTAATTTTGTGTTTGTTAGATTACTCATCGTGTTTATCATGACCAGTATGTAAAAATTTGTCTCTAGTTCAGGAGTTATTACTTCAAGAAGTAGAAAACAAACTAGTGGCACTTAAATCCTTAACAAGGGACTGAAGTTCACATATACAGAAAATTCATGAAGTGCACTGCTCATATGTATACACTGAAACCATAGAAAACACCAGTTCACTCTGAAAGTTCCTCGAACGTTAGGCTTGTGAATTGTATAAAGCTGTGTGTTGTTCTGGGGGATACTTCTGGTCCCACCTCCTGGCACGGTTTCTCCGGTGCCGACTCTTGAGTATGGTAAAACGAGAGCACATAGTCTTTCAATCTCTCCGGTAGTCTTGGTTGGCGTTTTGGCTGAGTCGTCACAACAGCCACGGTTGGTTCGGATTCACAAGCTCTCAAGGAGTCCTCTAAAGGAGGCATTGAATACGATGAGCCGGTCAGGGACGGGACTGGAGTACTTGTGGATCTTGGCCTGAATGGCTCTTCACATATATTCAGCGAGGCCGGTCGCAGAAGGAAAGGGAGCCTCCGCAGGCTCAATGTCTCTTGAAGGCATGCTGGGATCGGTATCTCGAGCAGGAACGGCACCTGCAGGCTCACAGGCAGGAAGTACATACCTGAGGCTCTAGGGTGGGATTATTGATCAGGGCGAGGTCAAAAAGGTAGTGTTGCCGTTCTGAGAAATGTAGGATGGGGCATCACAAAGTTGGGCGAGGCCAGCAGTTTCCAGTACGTCTAACAGCATATCATCGAGTGGGTCGGACTAGTTAATGTGACTGCTGAAGTCGCCGAAGGTGAACAGTGGAGAGAACCTGCTGTGGTCGATGCACTGTAGGCCGCCCTGGGGGAGGGCATACAATTGTTCACGGAGGGAGGGTGGGCAGTAGGTAGACGCCAGAAGCTTTCCATGTTTACATAAGACCCAGACGAAGACTACCCGGAGGGGTGAGGTGGTCGAGACGTTGGCTGGGCAGGTGTTTTGGCACAGCAAGGAGGATGCCACCTCTAGTTGAGGGGCGGTCTTGCCGGAACACAGACGATTGCGTGAGATTGATTATTTGACTGAGACATCTAGCCATGTCTCACACACAGTGAATATTGTGTTTGGGAAAGATGATGTCAGTGCTTTAACCCATTTTCTACCGCGCGCGCTGCCGGGCCGTCTGTATCACACATTTTTCCCCTAAAACAGGGCCACTCTAGGCGTGACTGTTTTGCTTGTATAATAAGCTTTTACAGTAAAACTCGGTGCAGAAAACAAGAAAACATGTTTATATACATGCTTAAGGGGTTTGTTCAAGTCTTTAAATCAATAGTCCCTCACAGATTCTTCCTCGTATGAAAGATCTCGAACACTCCATCCTTGGTCGCTTAGGCGTCGCACAACCAGTGTGCTCTTGTCGTGATTCGGACTCCGAAATGCTGTCGGAGTCGCTCCCATTGTCGACAAAAGGCTCCGAAAACTCTCTATCCTCACCAGGCATCCCGTGGCAGCGTCCAGTGTGCAGTGCGGCCCAGAAAGCCACTGATACTGGACGCTGCCATCTTCTCCAAGCAGGCAGCGATTGAGCGGGAAAGACGACACACAAAAGAACAAGCTCAAACAAACACAACGGACAGAACGACCTTCGCCATCTGTTGGCAGTGTATCTAACTGCACTACCCCAAGTCTAAATAGCACACCATCTATGAATGGTTCTTTAAAACAGAAATTCATGAAGACCGGCGAATCACCGGCTTTGGCAATATGGCCCCTGGCGGCATACCCGGCGATTCGCCGGCTTTGGTAGTGAATGGGTTAAGTCGGGTAGCTTGATATTTAGGGAGCGAACGTTGGAAGACCATACAGAAATCACGTGCGGCAGCGCTTCAGCGCCGCCGGCCGCAAAGTTGTCGTGTGAACGATGAATGCCACCGACGTCGTCGCTGGTCAGAGGCGGGTCGAAGAACTTGAAAGAGCTGGTGAGGATGGTGGGCTACGCAGGGGTGCCGTGCTGCTTGGGTGGGAAGAGGTCATCGGCCAGGGGTGAGAGCTGACATGCTGCAAAGAGCCACTCGGTTCATGACGAGGAGAGGTGTCAATACAAAGCGAGAGATACGTCTTGGCATTTCTGGTGGAGCCACATATCACAACCGTCGCATTGGAGAGTGGCAGCATTGTCGAACACAGACTGGGAACAGCGGGGACAGGTAGAATGTGGGCCAGGTTTTGAAGATACATCAACAATAATCAGCAATAGCAAGATTAGGTGAGGTTTATGGCGAGGGTGTTGAGTGAAGAATGCTCGGTCACTAGGCTTAGCACCGGGGCCACCCCAGGAGGTCGTTTCCGTGGACGGCAATGTTTGATGCTGATGCTGTTGTCAGAAAGTGGCTTTCTAGATGCTTGCAGTTTGTCGGTAATAGGTAATATTTCTCTTGAAGGGCCAGTAGTCTCGCTAGGCAGACCAGAAGACGGAGGATTGTAAAGGCGCGAGAGTGTGTCGCCATCTTGCGTTCCACCTGCAAAGCACGCATCACCATCTATTACCTCATTACCCATTAAAAATCTCCCATACAGGTGTTTCCTCCGTTTTTTTTTTTCAAGAGTTTGTAGTCAATGTGAGCCAGATCCATTGAATATGGTCGATATTTTTCCAAAGCTTTCTTTGCATCCATTGCAATGCAAGACCTGAGGCTGGGTGCATTGTCGTAATGAAGGAGCAGGTCCTGTCTCAACTTACTACGACGCCTTGATTGCAGAACATAATTTTGTAACTAGGTCCGGATAGTAAGAACCTGTTAGATTATTGTGGCTTCACCTCCATCACAAAAAGAAACAGCCTTTGGCGTCCCAAAGAACTGATTGAGAGCGTGTTACTCTTATTCTAGCTTGGACGAAAAGGAACAACACTCTCTACTGGGCCCTCGGGATGGAACCGTCGGAACTCTACGGGGTCTGCAATCATTCCGTCTAGACGGAGCTCTACTGCATCTGCTATCGTTTCTGTCTGGACGGAACTCTAGACTTACCATTATTGGCTAGGTGTTGCCATTACACGTTTCTTATGTCGAGGCTGACTGACTTTTCAAATCCTGAGTTGTCAGTTGACACTTGCTCAGAGATGCTGTTCCACATGAGGCTGTTGGAATAGGAGGTGTTTCTTGCTGGCAAGCTTTATTTTTTATTCTTTTTGCAGGTGAAGAAAGCGAGAGAGATCTCACAGATTGCGAGAATGATGCCGAAAGCGACGTTGAAGCTGCCACCAACAAGAAAGGCAAGAAGGGCAAAGCGGCTGGGTATGGCTCTCGAGTTCCTCCCTTTGCTTTGCTTGACTGTTTTTATTTCTTCATTGGAAAGCTTCTAGCCTGCTTGACAGGTGATACTGCTAAGTGGTAGCAAAGATGGCTCTTTCGTCCCGCGGTTTTGTGCAGGTCTCTTCTTCCGCCCTGAGTACATATATTGAGAATACACAGAAAGAATAAAACACGTGAAGGATGAACACGGACACACTGTTCTGTGTGTGTCTGTGTTCGTCCTTCACGTGTTTTATTTGTTCTGTGTATTCTGTAGTTTTCAACGCGCTCTCCTACGTGTACATATATTGAGTTGAGGCCAGAGAAGAAATAAAAATAATATGCCTCTTTCCACTGACCTAAAGCCAATTCAAAATAAAATGAATTGGATCCTTGGATCAAGTGGTAATTTCTTGAAACAGCCAATTGGAAAGGGAATGGGAATAAAGAAAACCGGCAAACGGGGGACAGCCAGGGGAACGGCCCGGGAAAATCGGGCGACTACTAGAACCCTTCAGGGCTCGACTAACCTATCCAACTCCGCTACTAAGTCCCGAGTGTGCCTCAGAGCGGGTCGGACGGTCACTGCATGGCAGCCATGAACCACACAGCCCCGTCGCAGTGATTTGTACGATATCCCTCGGCTCCACGCAGAGGATGCCCTAAAGCAAGGGTTTCTCCTTCCCTCGGAAGACACGAGAGGCGCCACCTTGATGTCAGCCTTCCCCTTAAAGGGGCCGCCTCGTCGCAAGGTTGACCACGCCGCCTCACAGGCTCCCCTCCTCCAGCGGGAAGGCTAGAAGTCACCGGCCCCTCTTTGTTGCCCCCGTCCACAAGAGGAACTCCAGTGCTAGGGCTCCTCCCCACAGAGGGGGGTTTTTCGCCAGCGCCACCGTTGCAGCAGTGAAGCTGGCAGGGCACACGACGGGCACGTCGTGGTTGACTTCCCATGGGGCGACAACCGCGTGAGCTTGCGCCCCCGCGCTGAGTACAGTGCAGACTGTTTATTTACACTATATTTACTCTAATACTGTCGAGACCGTTTATAACCAAGTCAATGGGAATAGGAAAAATCACTTCGCCATTTCCGCTTCTTTGCTATATATGGACTCATAAAAGTAACATGCAAAAAAGAAAAGAAAAAAAATTATAACACGGGTTATCATGGGCACATTTTTATCATGCGTGCAGAAAGTGGTTGAGGGTCCCCTGCATGTGCTCTCTGCTAGATCGGAACCGCGTCTTGCCAGCTATGAGAAGCTCTGATAGAGAAAAGATCCCGCGAGCTACGTACGGACAGTGTCGGCAGCTGCGACGACCGCCGCGGGGGATGCTGGCGGTGGAAGGCATTCTTTACGTTTATGCGCACTTCGTCAAGAATGGCACGCTTTAGTTTCAAGAAGATTGCCTTCACCTTCCTCGTTGAGGTGCAGGCGGGGTCGGGACTTTCCATCGTCGAGTGGCGATGATCTGCCGAAAATCGGTGCTTGAGCAAAGTTACTTTCGTGCAAGAGCGACCAACACAGTCTTTTAGACTCGTGCAAGACCGACACGGAACACGAAACAAACAAAGGAGCGTGCACGGCACCGAGTTTGTGCTCAAGCTCGTCTTTTGTCGGTATAGAGAGCCTATATTTAAAGGGGCACTGACACATCAAAATCATATTTTATTTTATTATCCGAAACGATTGAAAATGATGCCGGGAGAATACCCTCAAAATGCGAAACTTGGGAATTCTGTATTTGTGAATTGAAAAAACTATTTCCAAATGTCGAATTTGAAGTTCCCGTGCGATCTGCGCCAGTGCAGTGAGTCAAATTTTGCGGTCTCCTGCGACTCGACTTTCTTTCGGACCTCCGCTCTACGCTGTGAAGCAAAGCGCCATTGCTACCGCGACCCGAAGCGAGGAGGAGGTGAGCAGGCGGGATAGAAGGGTGCCGGCACGGGTAAATACCGGTTTCGTCCCCGACTCTGCGATAAGCCTCTGCTCGAGTGCCGCCAAGTTTTGCGAGGGAGGATACAAATCCAGGAAGCGACATCACACCGAAATCTGATTTTTGGTATTTCAAAAAGAAAGGCCGTAGTGCATTCGCAATTGCGTTAAAAAACATGTTTTACGATTGCTGTTATTAAATGTTATAGAAATGTCGCCTACAAAGCTTTTAAATTTCCTGATTTTTGAAAATTTTTGAAAATTTGAAAATTTGTGAAAATTTAAAAATTTTTGAAAATTTAAAAATTTCTTTGCGCATGCGCGAAGAAATGTTTTTTCGCGATGCTTTTTTTTGTGTGTGTCTATGACTACAACTTGCATCGTTTTAGACAATAAAAAAGAATGCGACCTTTGTGGTGTCAGTGCCCCTTTAAAAGAATGGGCAACTACTCGATCGGGGTCACGTGGTTTGTGGGCCGTGTTTGCAAAGCGAGCTGCAGCATGCAAGAAATCAAAACTTAAAAGCGTTCCACCTTCTGCAAACGTGTCCACCCCTCTGCCCAGTTTCCTCGCCACACTGGCCATGCGACAACCAAGTGCAGGCATACTTGCGCCAATTGGCCGAGGAGGTGTCTGCCATTAAATTGCAAATGCAATTGGTTGGAGTTCTTCCCTCTCTTAAATCTGGGCCCTCTCCGTCATTTCCGGCGGTACGTTGTCGCTAGCGCTCCAAGCGCCCCTCTGGCAGGCCACGACGGCTTCTCCGTGTGCAATGCGGAAAAGCCACTTCCCAGATAATGGGCAGGGAGCAGATGACGATGCCAACGGCCTTTGCGGCATCGTCTGTGGCCCGTTCTGGGTGAATGCTCAGCCGCGGCAGTCTGAGACTTGGTAAACTTTTTGAATTTTAATATTTAACTTATTACTAAATTTCTCTTCGGTTTATCCACGGGAGCCGCTCAATTTCCTTGGCTAAAAACAGACACAAATGCATTGAAAAAGTGCAAACGGGAATGGGAAATCGTGATTGCTTCGCTGTAGCCGCTAATAACCCGTCTGGACAGTACTTGCATTGCGAGCAATGTTCACATATGATCTGTATGTACAAAGTAGTGGATTCCTGGTTGACCCGTTACAGGGTCAAGACCCCAGCCATAAATCTCCCCCTCTTGCCCGGGCTTTTGAGGGGCCTCCGTGCTCTCGGACAGGAGCTAGCCAATTTTTTTAAACCTTGACGAAGGCATGTGACGCGAGCAGACCAATAGTTGACATTGGTTAGGCCTGCAACGGCTGACAGCTCTGATGATACCTCTACCGAAACCTAATTGTCTTCGCGGCGGGCTCGCACGAATGACAAATGTAATGACCCCCGCCAGTAAAAAAAAAAAAAAAAAAAGACGTACAAAAAACGCGCGCGTAAGGGAAGACCTCTTGCCCTGCAAACAAAACTGTAATCGCTGGGGGATACCACTTTTTTCCCCCAGGCCTCAAAGGCTCGACCACCCTTCCAGGGGTCTAATGACTGATAATGATGCGCATCACAACCATAAATTCAAAATTTATGTTTTAAATTTGGTCCTTTTTAAGCCAAATTATTAGCAAGATTACACGCCATAAAAGTTTGCGTTTACAAATATCATTGTGTAGTCTTGCCCTCGATGACCGGGTTAATTTTTTTCCCGCTCGGCACTTGGAACTATTTCTGCCGGGCCGATTTTTCCCGACACCCGTAGGTCTGTTGCAGGGACGTTCATTTGTTATCTGCATTATACGAACCCCACACTTATCGTTAATTAGGGGTGCTTTTATCGTTCATGCAGGTAGAAAAAAAAGCCAAAATCTCGGGCGCCAGAAAATAACTTTTGCTGCTTCCATTTGGAAAGTGAAGCAGGCTCGGTTGTTCGGACGGCAGCCACCCCCCAAGCTTGCCCAGCAGTGGCGCACAAAGAGCATTTGTCTCGCAGGAAGCGCAGAGGCGGCACGAAGCTGGGCGCTTGCGAGGCTGGACCCGCCGAGGACAGAGCGGCCGAGGACAGAGCGGCCGAGGATTTGAGCGAGCTGACCCGCGCCGAGAAGGAGAAAGCAGACCTCCTGTGGGCCGATTTCCTCAAGGACGTGGAGCCTCTTCCTAAGAAGCGGCCGACACAGGTGCGGCCGTCGGTTGGCACAGGGTTGGCGGCCATCTGGGACGTTCCGTCAGGGGACAGCGGAGCAAACAAAACATACAGCTTTAGATTGAGAAGGGAGGGAAATAACCGATACTTCGTCCTTGGTTATAGGGACCATATTCCTCGGGCCCCAAAGCGGGACATTGTGTTGCGAGACTTGAAAACTTTAAATTTCGGTAACAAATCACACCTGTTTATTATTTCGTCCATGTGCATTTCTATTCCTTGCAGTTTGCATACTGTTTTGGCATGGACATCTATCTAATACATTCGGTTGGAATATTTCTTTAGTATTAATGTATTTATTTTTGTAGATACTATTTCCGTAGTGCTGTTCACATGTCATGCGCAAATACGCAAACCTTCAACATCAGCGTCTTCTCTGCCAAGCATATCTTGTTCTTTGATCAGGGAAAGCACCTTCTCACTGGTTCGATCCATTTGTTTATCTGCATCTTTGATCTATTAGCGGTTTGGGGGAGCCAAAGCGAAACAAAACACCGTCCCCCAAGCATGCTGGCAGGACCTGTCCCGCCTAAATATGGGCGTCTGGTCGCTTTATTGTTGGTTTGCATTGTGCAAATCGGACAACTCTATGCAGGCTTAAAAAGAACATCTGGGCCTTCAGAAATGCCACTTGTGCCAGGAAATGTATTCTATAGGGTCCGAGAGAAAGTGTAAGTTTGTTTTTAGCTTTTATAAATAAACTATTCATCACAGAACACTGAAGCTCAATGTGATGCTAGTGGTGGTGGTAGAATGCAAAAGCTTGAGAACATGAACTGGACTAGGAGATAAAAGAAAACTTCTCTATGATCCGACGTCCACCGAGTCTAATAACATACACCAAACCAAGAAATCACATTGTGGGTGCCTTTGGCCTCTATTGTGGCAGAAAAAACTGGTCACTAATGGCGAATTCCAGTGGTCATTTTGGAGCGTGCCGGGATTGACTTTTCTGGAGCGCGCCTATTTCATCGGTATCAAGACAGACATGTTCTACTTGTCGTTTTGAATCGGCTCCCACTCCAGATCTCCGATCTCCGAGAAAAATCGCTCCACTGATTTTGGCGGATTCGACCGGAAGCCAGCCTGGCCAGCCCTCGGTGCGCACACGTGACTTCCTTTCTCGCCTGGTATCTAGTCTCAAATGAGATCTGTGACTGCTGGAAGGGGATTACGACGGGAAGGCATCCGCCTATCCCGGAGAAGTGGCTATGTTCCACTGGGGATCTGGAGGCGGAGCAACTCCGTCTGGATCACATATTCCATCTTGGATCTGGTCTACTGATCCCAGTGCGTTCCAAAACAACCAGTGGAAGTTGCCATAAGAAAGCGGCTCTTGTTTTCCTTTTCAGTGACAAGTTTTTTTGCCCAACTAAATGCCACAGGTGTTAAAAAAGGAGGTTTAATATTTTCTATTGGATCCCCTTTTCTCTTATTGTACCTGGGAGGAACTTGGCCAAAAGCTGTTGGACAAGAATACTTGGGTGCCTTCTGGGTAATATTTTGGAAGGAGTCAAAATGGGGGGGGGGGGGGGTGGGGCACACCTGACTGGTGAGCTTACAACCCTTAGGCATCTGTCTGCAGGTGATCTCTGTCACAACCCTCATTGGGCCTGCCCGTTCCAGAGCTGGCGGTGGGGTTCTGTGCCCTCGTATCGCATATCGGGGATCATGTGACAGTGCCATCTCGGGCGCTTGCATTATTTCGTGGGCAGGCACTGCACCGCGCTGGCAGCTTACTGAAACTCACCAACCAGGCACTCAGTAGTGGGCTGGATCATCGAGTGAAAAGCTGCTGTTGGCATAGTACAGGGGTGGCCAAGCTGCGGCTCTCTGCGTGTTAAAGTGCAGCTCGCTGCTCTTTCCCTTATCCCTCCTCTCCCCCCCCCCCCGCTTCCTCCCTTCCGGAGCACTTCCCCTAAAAGAGAAAGGAAACGCGTTTTAAATCGAAAAACAGGTTGCGGTTTGGTAGTGTTGTGCTACTGCTGCCTTACGCACAATTGGACTGCTTTTGACTCAGATAGACCGAAATTAGTTCAAGTTTCGTTTATTGCTCTAAACAAAAATCCCCCCCGCGGCTCTTGAAAAGTTTGTGATTTTGTTTGCGGCTCTTTGGCCGGGTCAGCCTGGCCACCCCTGGCATAGTACTTGGGTGCTAAGAAAATGCAAACTAAGCATGGAGTAGATGGGAAACCCTTGTTTAAAAAGTGAATCCTATTTAATTACGTTTCTCCTAGTCTGAAAAATTTATGGGTAGCTTGGGGCTCTTCATCTTAGCCTCGTGCATGATTCTTGGGAGATGATGCGGGTTGCCCTTCCAGAAACCCAGAAGCCAGCGTAGACCATCTTTTACCCCCCAGGATGCTGTGTAACAGAAAACGAATGTGCATGCGTGGAAGAGCGGTAAGGGGATAAATTGAGAGGACAGAAGAAATTGGACCCACGACTGCGCCAATGGGGAGGATTGGGAAGCAGTAGTTAATAAGGGGGGACCTGGAAATGTCAACTTTTGAACCACTCACTCAGTTGCACGATATTTGCAGGTGGGGATTGTAGCCATATAGGAGGGCTTGCAAAGATTTAGCCCTGGGAACTAATTTAATGCGGTACTATACCCCCAGAGTGAAGTAAAGCATAGCTTTGCATGGAATCTGCTCAATGAATTTATCGAGAAATGGTGTTGATAACCTCATATTTTTCTTGTTGAATGCATACTGGAATGCCTGTTGCCGGTTGCTATGAAAAACAATTTCAGAAAATATGCATTTTCCAAATAAAATAAAAATGTATGAAAATTTTTTTTCCACATTTACCAAGTTTTGTGAATTACAATTTTTTTATAATAAAGGAACATGAAATTGCAAAATCTAAGTTCATAGAAACCGGCTCACAAAATTTCGGCACATAAGCCGCAAATATTAAGTCTCAATAGTTTCATACAATGTTGCCGAATTGTGGGCAATTCCCAACGTTGTGTAGAAAGCCTCACACCATAGGGTAAAGATAAACTTAATTTGAATGCACGTAAAATATGAATTTTTAAAACTAAGCATATCTCTTATTTCACATGCATTCGAGTTTAGTTCCCCGCTCTCCCCTGGAGCTATGTTTGTGAGGAATTTCCCACGATTCGGCAACACTGGTTTCATACCTAAAACAATAGTTTTATATGTGGGATTTGCCGCCAGAAAGCTGAATTGAGAAAAATGTGTTTACAATTTCAAGTTATTTTCAAATTTCCTAAAAAAATTGTCTGGGTTGCCCCATGTGACTTAGAACTCTCCAGCTCCATATGTTGGTCCTTCTTCTTCAATCGTCTTCTGCTCATTTGCCATGGCTTCGAGCTTGCAACATTTCTGGGCAGTCTGGGTATCCAGTACCTTCACATTGGCCTCCAGGATCTTCTGCTGGCTTGCCTTCCAAGCGTGGTTTTCGTGGTGGCTTCCAGGGCACATGCCCATCTTCTTGAGGATCTCCTCAAAGCCTTAGGCCCCAAGTTGTATCCGAGAACAGCCATGGCCACAGCAGTCTCCACTGTCCTTGGCGATGCAAATTCCGTCAAGGGGCATCTCTTCCAGATGAGTGCGTTGAATGACTCATTCACGTTCAGAGTCTTCATTCTTCAGCACCTTAGAAGCAGCCTCTGATGGGATAGCCGGTTGTAGATGGATACCAATTCCTTTGCAATGTCCCTCGTGAAGGCTGGGCGATTTAGGCGTGGCACAGATGGTTTCCCAGCAGCAACCAATGCATTGTGGCAGTTGTAGTGGCACCACGAGTCTTCTCCGCTAGGGCAAGCCACATGCCGTGGTGCTTCATCGGTAGAGTATGAGGCGCAGCCGTGAGCGTTCCAAAGAAAGCTCATGCAGAGAAAAACAATCGAAGGACCAGAGATGTCAAAATCAGTGTATAGCAAAATACCCCATTGAATTAAAGCGCCGCCACACACGATTTCTTGCATTGATGTACAGGCCTGCAAGGCGATCCCACCACCATCTCTTGGTTCAGAATCACACTGACCAAGGTGGGGTTGCAGTGCAAGAGACTTGCGTACACACCTTTCTGCATTTTGGTGACATCAGGAGCGTTGTCTTTCAAAGCAGTTGCATAATAGTTTGTTAGCTTTCTAATCATGACGTTAGTCAACTTCCCTTTCCCTCTGTGGCCTTTCTTGCTCTTCAACTTTTCCATGCCACTGTACATCCTCTTGGCTAGGTGGTTGACACACGCTTTCTTCTGGATGTCCTTGTCATAGAGGCCAAGACCAGCAATGTGCGTAAACGCCTTGCTGTCATTATCACTTAGCATGGTGGCATACTGCAGCTTGTGGAGCTCTAAAGATCTACTGGAGATGACTCCTTCAGCCACAACCTCCATAGCGTTTGACGATCCTCTGAAGTTCTTCTGACAAACATCTTTATGAGACTCTATCCAGGCCTGGTAGCCTCCTGCGTCCTCCTTTGGGCCCAGGTTGCATCCATGACAGTACTTGCTCTGAATGGAGAAGTCGAGCACCAAATCGGTTGTCACTTCAATGAGTGCGCCAACGCTGAAGTTCGACGTGTGGCCGTGCTTCTGCCACGTGTCGAGTGAGTCATCTGCGTTGTTGACATGGTCTCCATCCTCGGACACCTGAGCTCCTCACTGCGGTCGCTGCCTCCTGCATCAGGTCGCATGCTGCTGCCATGGACGCTTCGTGCACCTTCTCTGCAGTCTTCTGATAGGTGTTTAGATGCATCGGCGATGGAGCATTCATGCCCTGATGAATGCTTCAGCATCGTGAACCTGATGCCACTGTCCTTTTCGACTACACAAAGGCGCACAGGAAGCTCACTTTGCTCGGCCCCTCCGACGGCTGCCGACTGTGCTGTCGTCACGATGTCCCCGCGTGCTCTGCATACAATGACAAACTGAAGAATGGCTCCAACGCCACTGTCTTTCAAGTCCAGTCCATTTCCACAGCAGTTGAAACACAGCAAGGCGCTCACCAATGTCTTCACGGCAGACATTGGTGAGCGCCTTGTCGAAACGATACCTGTCAAGCTCTGCGTCGCGAACGTCGTCAGCTGGTTTTGGCAAGTCGGCAGGTCAATCCAAAAGCGTGATCTTACGCTCGAAGGTTGTCAACTCCATACTTCAATGTTGAAGCACTCTCGAATTCTGGCGTAGAAGAAAAGCCCTCCAGAGACGGTGATAGGTGCGACGGTCCACGCGACGTCGCCAATGGGGCTGTGTTGGAAGCTTTAGAACGTCGACCACCCGCTGTGCCTCTCGATTTCGTGAGCCGAGAACGCTTACCGAGGTTTCCATGCATGTAGGCTTTACTCGGCGACATTTTCGGCACGAAAAAAGATATGAAAGGTTGAAGTTAAACAGCGAGATGTAGCAGGTCCGACAATAAAACGTGGTCTGAAGCATGACTGCCATGAATGATCACGTGATGGCTGAAAACCACTCGTGGCTCTAATTTCAGTTTTCCGATCAATAGGAAGACTAGTTCTGTCAAATTCCCCATTATTCTTCCCGTGGAAGAAGTTTTTGCGACGGGGTCCTTTTTGTGCACGCTTACCCTCGACCCGTGTTTACTATTTTACTGAAAAGTCAGAGAAACAACCTTTCCAACGAGGGTATGAATGCCACGCTAGGCCTTGCAAGCGCGGCGCTGTACTGCACTGAAAATCAGAAAAATGCTGTTTTCCTCGCTTCTTTCAAGAGCGCACCACACCTCAGAGCACTGTGGAGACATGGAAAATGTTTATTTTCTCGCAAATTACGACGCCGAAGTTTACCGAATTTCGCCATATTGCTTATTAATAGTTAGAGGTACCAAAACTGCAACATTTGAAAAATGAATTTTTTGCCGAAAAATTAGCTAAAATTTGAGGGCCGTGTCTTCCCTTAAATGCGATAATACTCGATTGGCCAATCGACACCTCGGAACGTACAAGTGGCAGCAGTTTTTAGCTCGGACTTGTGGGTCCGGCATTGTGCAGGGATTGCACAGTTTCTAACAGAGGGCACGCTTTGGGGTCACAGTACATAGCACTCGTGGAAAAAATGAAATCCATTGGAGCAACTAACTGGGATATATGGAGAGGAGGGGGCCATCTTGGGTCAGAGATTTTGTACTTGCAAGTCTGAAGAGTGTTCCAAAAGAGAAAATCCCTTAGAACACAACAGTCCATGATCTGCAAGTATGGCTCAACGAGTGAAGGAACTATCTAGAAAATGAGGAAAATGAACTTGGCTAGTAGGAAACTCGGGGCACTGTGGAATGGTAATAGATATCGGGGGTATATGGAAAGAACGATGGCATCTAGACTACTCTTTGGCAACGGGGTGCTTTGCATGAGGTCGTAGGTTTAATCGGGACTGGAAATTCAACAAAGGAACATAGGCAGGTTGGCTTTGAAAGCATACAGGAGGGAGTGCGGGGGGGACATGGGCTCCTTTGAAAACAGAGAGACAATTATTAAATTGAAATTTGAACAAAAGTGGACTGGATATGTGATAGGCATGAGTATACCAGTATATAAAAATTTAAACACAAAATAGACACAAATACATTGTGTCTATTTAAACACAAATACATTGTTATGTCTGGTATCATAAGTGGATTGCATTGTTTAGGGCTAAGTGTCAAGCCCTAGGCCATAGTGGTAGTGAGACGCTAGAACATCTGGTTTGGAAGTGCACAGGGCTTGGACCTAGACCTTCTTGAAGGGTCAAGAGTGGAAGGCACAAGAACTGGCTGCTGAGTCGAGAGGAGATGTGCGAGTTGGTACAGTGGTGGGTTCTTGAGGGCTCGATGTAGGTCTAGAGGGGGGTCTTCCAAGTAATGAGATAGGACAAGAGCCGCTGGGCGAGAGTGCAGGGCACAAGGGGAAATGTGCGAGCGGATGCACTCGGTGGGTTCTTCAGGAGGTCTTGTTGTAGCAGACGAGGAAGGTGAGAGAGTCCGTCCCACTTGGCTTGTTTCAACCTACTTAATAAGAATAATAATTCCTTTATTTTTTTCATCACATGTTGAAGGGTGGGCCGGGGAAAAAAAAGCTGTGAAAACAGCTTGACGGGTCCCCGACCTCCTGCACTGGCAGAAACATAACAGCTCAAACAAGCAAACAGAAGCAAAAAAAAAAAAATAGCTGTTACAAAAACAGCCTTGGCAGGACAGATTGTCACAAAAACCGTTACACTGTGCGGTTATTGTACATAGTAATTTCGAAGCTCATTCATGGAGAGCAAGTCCAGTTGAAAGTCACGACTAATAAAGCTGTTAAGTAAATGTGGTAAAGTATATTTTAACGTTTGCAGGCCATAGTTAGTTCTACGAGGTACCATCCTCCAATATTCAGCGCGCCGTGTAGGATAGGTTACAACGTTTCTAGTTTACGTCGCGAGGGTCGTCAGGAATTGCAAGTTTCGTTTTTGATCTCTTTTAAAACCAGCGGTCAACCTGTAACTGTGCAAGTTATGTATGGTTATGACAGCGTATGTTTTGTACAAACCAGCAGTATGAAAGTCATGTGGGGCGTTGCAGATAATTCTAACGAGTTTCTTTTGAAGCAGGAATATCTTTTCTGAGTTTCCAGCTGTGGTCGTGCCCCAGATAAGGTGGCAATAGCTTAGATAAGAGTAAAAAAAGAGTTGTAAATAATCAGTTTGGAGGAAGTTGGTAAGATAGAGCGGTTGCGGTTTGCTAATCCGACAACGCAAGATAATTTAGATAATATTGTACTTGGTTATCCATGATATGCTCTCAGAAAAGATGACTCCAAGTGTCTTAAAGCTGTCAACGATTTCAATGGGCGTTCTGTTTAAGATGAGGCTATTAGTGCATGATACAGCCTTATTTTGCGGACGAAAAAGAATGACTCGTTTTATTTGTGTTTATTTGCAATGAATTTTCCTGTGCCCAAGACTCTAGTTTTGATAACGTTATATTTGCATGGGAGTGAGGGAAACAGGTCTCAATGGAATCGAAGGAATATGGCCCTCGTATAAACAGCCAAGCACCGCAGATACGGCCCATTTTCGATTCCAAACGTTTGGGCTCTGTTCCAGACTATCGCCACAACCGCCCTTGCAGTTGGTTTACAAACTTTTTACCAAACCGTTCTGAGCATGTAAACTTGTGACCTGATGCGAATAAAGCGTGTAAATGTGCTTTGTCAGCATCGCCGATTGAAGCTGCATTTCTCTTCTTTTGTTGCAGTCATGTCCAACAACTTCGAAGCCCGAGCCAGCGACGGTGGAAAAGAAAGTGAAAGTCACCAAAGTCATGAACTTCGCTGGGGAGACTGTCCTGTGAGTTTCTATTGGCCCCACTCTAACGTTGGAGCTATGGGTTGCATGCGAGCAATTTTTATGATTTGAACAAGCGGTAAAACCCTAATGCTACATCTGTCTGGCTTTCTCTCAAAGACATGATTGAAAAACTAGCTTGCTGAAAAACAACCCTGGCATCTAAAATTAAATGAGGGCAAGTCGAACAAAGAGCATCAATGTATGTTTTCGAGCATGTAAAGCACATCATCCTAGGCGTGGGGTCATGAGGAAGAAAATATGCTAGGCTTTTTTGGTGCTATTGATTGGCCAGCAGCGCCTCTTTGAAGCCTGTTTTGACTCGTTTGTGTGCAGCTGGCCCTTTGCCCAAGCTGTTTGTGGAGTAGGGTGGGACTGGCATGCGACGGAGTGCACAGAGTGCGTCTGACCGGCCGTGGGTGTGCAGGGTGGACACGGAGGTGGACGCCAAGGAGGCCAGGGAGAGTAACTCGGAAGCAGAGGCCCCCTTGCCTGGGTGAGTGCAAGGGGCTTTTCGGCCCCCCCCCCCCTCCCCCCCCACATTGGGGCAGCGTCCAGTTTGCTCAACACTCGTCGATGCACACTGTATCCCGTCAAACCCTTTGGTTGCATGGCTGAAAATTATTGTGCTGCTGATGCACTCTTTATTTTGCTTTCTTACAAATGTCACAGCACTATGCACAGCTGCCCTTTTCTGACTAGTGCAGTTAAGGAAAGCAAATTTTTTAGTTAACGATGGTGTCTAGCTTTAAACTAAAGGAGGTTTCACCGTGGAGTATACTAAAGGAAAGTGATCTGGTCAAGTCTGGTTCACATACTTGCTGCCACAAACTTGCATTATGTGGCCTGATGATTTTAAATGAGGCGCTAGCCTATGGGCTAGCCCCTCACGAGCAGCCAGCAATATTGTCCTCTTCTCTGGACCCAGCACTCCAGCCTCTGTTGGTCATTGGCGCCTAGGGCAGGCCCCTGCCAGCATGCGCTTGGGGCACCTCTTGTCTTGGGTGCAGGCAACACACGAGTCCTTTCGTCAGCCTCGCCACAAACTGTGTGTACTGGCCATGCCTCTGTCTGGCGGTAGCATTGGCGATACACATGCTTCGGTAGTGCAAAAAGCTGGCGGCTGCCCAGGCTGTTGTCTCTGCTGAGATTGCTCACTTCCAAAGATGGCGCAGCATCGACTAGGACTGTGCCATCCCTGCCCTCTGTCAGCCTCGTTCATATCTCCAACTAGTCTGGTGTGGCATTCAGAGGGGCCCTAATGAAGCCGTACTTGTTCTCTGGCTGGTACAGCCACAGGTCTCTACTCTCGTGAAAGGCTCTGGGCCCACTGGTTGCGATCCATGAGGAAGAGATGGCTGTTGTAAGAAATCTTGTTGGTTGCCTCGACCACTCCTTGCTGAACTGCTTCATTGCTACCATTCCCCGACATCCCACGGCCTGCCACCCAACCGCTTGCTGCCCATGTTCCAGAAGTTCTTGCACCAAGCTAGGGACACAAAGAACTGCCTACACTGGCATCTATGAGGGAAGGTTTGGCTGCATTTGCGAGATCAAATGTAGCACATTTTCCGGACGGTGCATAGTCCGCAGGGGCAAATTTGGGATCAAAGATACGTTTTGCTTAGATGGTCCGCATAGTGCCTAGTCCGAACGTAAAAATTGTACATGGCACAGCTTGACAAATACCTGCTGTATATTAGCTCTCAAAGAAGCTTGTATCATAGATAAATCAACATTAATATACTTTGTTATTCATAAAATCCTTCACGTCTTATTACAGTGAATGAGCTAGAAAAAAACAAATCCTTCTATGTACATGTAGATAGCCTACATCGGGTAAAATTTCAACTTGTAAACACGTATAGTCCGGAAAATATGGAATGTGCTGTCTCTGAGGAATTGTAGTTTATTACATTGTCAAAAAGGCCTGTAGTGAAAAAATTACGAGCAAAAAAAAGATATGCGAATGGCTTCCCCCGGTAGATGGCACCAGTGTGTTTTCTCGTCATAAGCGACGGCTGCACAACACACTCGGTTGCAACAAAATGCTACTTGTCGCAACGAGGAAAGGTCCACCAACGAGCTCTTGAGCAATCAAAGTGGTGATATTTTATGGAGAAAGGAGTTCCCCTGCTAAATTTAGCGGGGGAACCGAATTGCCCTAGAGGTTGTCATAGAGGTCGTGCTCGAGGTCGTCCTAGATGCGTCCTTGAGGCTGTCCTAGGCATCATTCTTAATGTCGTCCTCGACATCGTTCATGGCCTCGTAACAAAAAGACGTAAACATGACGAATGCTATCGCAATTCATAGACAATAGTGGTTTCTGCAGCATTTGTTTTCTTAAAGTTCTTCACTGCTGCAATGACTACCATTAGTGATTTTTAACATCAGTTTATGGAACTATGGCTGGGCTATTGATCAATTAACCTATCAATTAATGCTTTAATCGCGATTAATTTTTTAACCAATCGGTAAAATTTTGACGAACCAAAAGAAAGTGAGAATTTAGCGCTTTCACCATGCAAACGTGGAGGAGTACACCTGTATGAAGGGCAAACTTTGGGTAAAATTTTAACCTAAAGTATACCGTATGGGCGAGATTTGTAACTGCAGACAAGGGAGGTGCAGTAGGTTACACGTGTCCCAGCCACTTGAACGCCGTGGAGTGCCCGTTGAGCGTAGCAGAGACTATTGCGAACAATCCAAGGAGGTTGCTCTTGCTGGAGAATATTAACGAACCTTTTTGCCTCGTGCAGCAACTAAACATCAAGGTTGATTCATAATCAAAATTCCATATTGAACCGTTTATTACATATTGATTGAAAAAAAAAAAAAAAAAAAAAAAAAAAAATTGAGAAAATATTATGCATGTAAATGAACGAGATTGATTAATAGATGAATTAATCAATTAAACAGGAGTGATTATTCAGGTTTCAAATAATAATCGACGCACAACCCTATACACGTTTGCAAGTCCGGCCTCAGGGCGCCGCCATCTTGCCCAGTGGGGTGCGCTCTTGGGCGCGGCCATAATCCGATTACAACGCCTTAGCAAGGCCTCGTAATGGGTTTAGGACTCGCCCAAGAGCGCACCCCAGCCGAGCAAGATGGCGGCGCCCTGAAGCCGGACTTGCAAATGTGTCTAGCCCGACACACTGTTTACAAACAAGCCCGCGTTTGGACACACCAGGTGTGTGGGCCCTCTGCGCGCGCAGAAACCGAATTTGCATGAAGCGCTTGCACCGTGCCGTGGACAGTGCCATTACAGCTGCGTGACGTCAGGGCCGCGTGTTGGTGCATATTTCGCAATTTCCGGATTGTGGGAAAAATGCCTGTTTTGTGTGACTTTTTGTTTTGTTCATGAGAAAGCTATTAGGTTTACTATGTGATGCCTTACATAGAAATGAAGCTAAATAAGTGGGCCTTTAAGTGATGCAAACATCAAAGCAGAGGTTTGTATTTCAACAAAAAATATAAGTCATCAAACACTTTTTCTTCTACAAAATGTTCCAAACGGGTAGGTCTACAGTAGGCTCTCATTAATTCAAACTCCAGAAAGCCAAGAATTTTGTTTGAATTATCAGAAATTCACCTACGGTAATTATCATGCAAGGTAAAATTATGGTTTGTTATATGAATGGCTACGTATACGAAGTAGATATTTGATGATTTTCTCTATATGGGCCCACTGATCATAAGCAGCTATGCCACACATAAAATAATGGTGAAATGTATGAGATAAGTTCATTCATCCCTCGAAATTTTCTCTCGTAGACTCTTTAGACGGCATGCGACACCTCCAAACAAAATTAAGTTTGTTCATCCAGCAAAAAAGTTGTCAATTGTGGAGAAGCAACACCCGCGAAAGCGAGCTCCGTGGGTGTTACTTCTCCGCGATGCACCGGTGCACGGTAAGAAGCACGCTCAGCGGGGCTGCGAGAACACAAAGTTTGAATTACACGAAAATGCCTTTCAAACTAAAGGGACCCTAAAAAGAAAAAGAATGTTTTTTTTAAACAGTCTGGTTGGGACACGCGTGTCAAAAAAATTAATTTTATGCGAAAAAAAAAAAAAAAAAAAATTTAGAGAAATTTTGACGGCATGAGATGCAACTTAGTCGGTGGCCACATCCTTTCCACTAGTTTTCTCGCTCGGCATTTCGGGCGCGAGGAGGAGAGTCGGATCGGCTTGGCCATCACGTTGAGGTGGACAGACTGTATGACCATATCGTGACGTCATGGGCTTTGCACGCAGAATTTCAAATAAATCTCGCGCCGTTAAGTGTTCTAAAAAAATTTTTTGTTACCGTAAAATTAATTCCTTGACACACGTATCCCAACCAGACTGTTTAAAAAAAAATTTTCTTTTCAGTAGTTCCGTACTCCTGCGATTTCTTCGTGGTCCCCGATTTGCTTGAAATTTTGCTAAACTCGCCAAACAACATCGCTAAAATAGTATCCCAAATATTACGTTAAAATTTTTTTTCACAAAGTTATTGAATTTACAGTTTCGCTCCTCACCGTGTTTTTCAAACTGAAAGTCTCTACTGGCAACAACGAAAAAGGGACGTCAGTGGAAGTCAAGGGTTCAGTCTTTGGACTGTAGAATTTGTTCCCAACTGATTCCAAGCAGTTTCATGGTGGCAAATGAATGCTTTGGAAGCTCGCTCCAGCACGGAACAAATGATTGGCATATTCTATTTTTTAGACTGCTCGCCCGACTGGCAAGCTAACCTTCCACTGACGTCACTGCACTGAAAAGTGTGGGTATATTTGAATGTTGGTTTTTGCATCATTTTCATTTGCTGATTTCCCAATAACTATTATGAATTTCGTGATACTAAATAGCATACTGGAGAGTATAAAGGCCGGGAAGTCAGAAAATATAGTTAGTTGAGGTAGCTCAAAAAATCGCCGGAGTACCCCTTTAAGTGGCTTTTGAATACATTGAAAACGTAGCGGGACGACCAAAATTTTGAATAGTGTTCGAATTAACCAGAAGTAGGAAATATCCGAGTTTGAATTATTGCGAGCCTACTGTAGCTATATCTCGGGGAAAAAAAGCAGTAATAAAAATGAGAAATATGCTAAATGTTTCCCAATTTGAGAATAAAAATCTGCAAATCTTTGAGCTCAAAGAAATCGTGAGCTATCGAGAATGCAATGAAGCCTGGTGATACCATTGGGCCAAGCAGTTTTACAGTATGGTGAGGTCTGAAGAACCTCTGGATGATTGGCGAGAATTGGCCCGCTTGCGAGCGTGCGTTAGACCCGTGTCAACAACAACTGTGTGCCGCCGGTTTCACACTCTGCTTAAAAATGGCTGCCATGTGGAAAGAGGAAGGGACGCACAATTTACCCACGAGAAGTGCAGCGAGAGTTTTGAAATGGGCCTCTGCACCCATTTGTCACGGGTGGTTGTTACTCTCTGGGTGCGGTCAGGAAGGAGTACCTGAGAAAATTTTTTGTTTTGTTCAACTGTTACGCTGCACGATGCATTTAGGGTTTGGAACAATTTGACTTTGAAAGGATTTGAATGTGATAGTAGGGCTAGTTTTGTGAGCCTGGCTTGGAGGAGTGCAGAGGACTTCCCAAAGAAGGGAGGAGAGCAAGAGCGAAGCGGGTCGCCATCGCTTATCTCGTCGCTCACCAAATTGCTTACATGCGGTTTATACTCAATTAATTTACAAGCACACAACATTGAACCATTAGCGCCTCGATATTAAGTATAAACTGCATGCAAGCGATTTGACGAGCAACGAGACAAGCGACGGTGACCCGCTTCGATGTCGCTCGGTCAGTCGCACGACGAAGCATGGAAGCAACGGGAGCAAGCGATCAAGACTGTGAGCGACGTTTTCTAGAAACCCAAAAACGGAGCGACGCGACGGGCAACAGTAAGAAATCTCCGTCGCTCGTCGCTGACTCTCGTCGTTGTCGCACGCTAAATCACTTACATGCGGGTCGTCTTCACGGAAACGAGCGCGCACATGCAGCGAGAAGCACGACTGGATAGCCTTACTGTGTCAGTTGCAATTTACATATGTCGCAATAGTGTTGACTCCCCTTTATTAGCGACAAAAACGTAAGAATGGGATGAACTTACATGGTCATTGAAGCCTCATAATCTTGTATCGTCGATCCATTCGCTGTCCGATTTCATTTCATAAATACGAAAATACAAGAGCTGGTGTTGAAATATAGATATCAAATGATTAAATGAAAGTCCGAAATATCGAAACACACTATTTCAACGCGGGACGTAAAAGAACACAAAAACAAAGCTCCGGTAGTGGCCTGTGCAGCACACAACACGGAGGAACGGCGAGAAACTGAAGGTCGGCTATATGGCGGCAGGGTCCCGTGACGTCAAGATGGCGGCGCCCATGAAATGTTGCCTGAAAGGGTCTAAATCAATACGCATGTCAGTACGAGTTACTCCAAAGGTTAGTTTAAGTTACTCCAAAGGTTACCACATGACCAGTCAGTTAGAGCAACAGCATAAAACGAGGGTAGCTTTTCAAACGCCTAGGTTCAAAACCTCTACTCTGGAGTAAGTTTGAATGCATTTTGGAACACTGCTCATATGATCATGGGTGCGCTAGGCTCCAGTTGACTTTATTAGGTTGTCGAGTGAAGTGCATCGCGCCAAACTACTCCTTGTGTTTCCCCAAGTTAAGTTGGAACGATCAATGGCGCTTTCAAAAGCCAAGAAGAAGTACTTGCAAGTATTTCTGAGATCATACACGACTGAGTTTCCGTGCTTGAAGGTGACAAGTATGGGTTCTCTACCGCGTGCGCCTGTGATGCGAGCGATTCGTACGGTGGCAAAGCCGACATCAAGATACACATCGCTTCACAAAAGCATCAGAACTATGTTTGTGCCACAGAAGGGCAGGGCACCATCGGCAGTTTCCTTCAAAACAACTGCGAAGACAGTGTTATGTTATCCGCACAGAGTGCCCCTTTACAAAGTTTCTTGTCACACTAAAAAAAAATTTCTTGACCCCTTTCTCTTTTTGCACGGTGGTCTCCCAAATTTTTATGTTGCTAGGTTGGCAGGTGCGTATGCATGCTGCTTATGACAGATTCAAAGCAAATGACTAAAAACAGGCTTTGGTGAGGGCAAATTTGCCATTTGTTTAAGATTTGTGCTTTAGACAAGCCCCTTTTGTGGACACCAGTACATGTGACTACACTTGAAGGGTGCTCCTTGTTGCTTGGGTCATTTAGCGAGGGATCTATTAATTTGTGGTTTCTTTTTCGGGGAAAATGTATTTGAAAAGAAGCCGACTGAATTTCCATTAATGTTTTCAGCACAAAGCGGCCTGCTGGGGTCCAGAATGTCCTGAGTCGGATCCTGAACAAAAAGCAGAAGCTCAGCGTCCTGGTACGTCCCAGTGGCAGTAATGGGCGTTGCGGAATGTTCCTGGTGCACATTTGCTATGACCGAACAAAATGTCTTGGTGCTGACTTTGCTCGGTCAGGTCGGCCCCAAATACTGCGAGCCGAGATTGGTGGTTGTAGTAGTTGCGTGGAGATAGTGCATGCATATTGAGCTTACTGCAGCTACCCCTCTGAGACTGCCTCCTGCTTGAGGGCCCATGCATGGCTTGTATGGATGGTTCTCTTGGCACGCAGGACAAGTCCAAGCTGGATTGGGAGCGGTACAAGAAAGAGAAAGGCATTGAAGAGGAGATCCAGACCCATAATCGTGGGAAGGACGGGTGGGTTGTTTTCCAGAGTGACTGATCTGTCCAAAGTAGGGCCTTGTCTGGTCGTTCTGCCCTTGTGAAAATTAAGAACAGTGCCATCCATCCATCGTCCATCTTCGCACCAATTTTCGCTAGTGCAGAAACCAACTGGCCAAAGTTTCAACGATACTGCAGTCGAATCTCGTTAATTCTAACTCGAGGGGGTCCGAAAATTGGTTTGAATTACCGGGAGTTTTCTCATAGAGACGCATAGGATGGGACCTGCATGTTATAGTCTGCAGTATCCGCAAGTTCAAATTAAGATATTTTGGATTAACGAGATTCAACTGTACAACTTCATTCTGCCCGTTGCTGCTTTTCTCCGAGGGCCTCTTGAGAAGTTATCTGTTTAGCCATACCTCAGTTTTCTACGCAGATAATCCTCTCCTGAGCTGCAACCCCAGCAAAGACAAGGAAGTTGCTGTACTCTTAAGCATAGTTGAGTGTGACCGATGTGCATCCTTGTTAGTTATCCTTCGTATCCATTCTTCGAGTGTAATCATTGCTCCGGATTGAATGGCTAAAGATAGTGTAAGTTACTCGTTTCGAGCATTTGGTTGCCATGTTTCCGGGGATGGGGGGGTGGATTGATGCGGCTGCCTTGCCGACAGGGCTCGCATCCTAAACCGCAGTAACGCTCAAGTATGGTTAGCAGTTACTGCCAATCATACTCTAGCATACCTGCCAACTCTCCCGAATTGTCCGGGAGCCTCCCGAATTTTGATCACATCTCCCGATTGTACGGGCGCTACCTCAAATCTCCCGAAAAGTATCCGCCATTGTTTTTTTGTTTTTTTTATGATGCCTTATTGCTATAATCACGACGCGTGGTGGGGTGGGGGGTGGTAGGCATTCGACTGGCCGAGGCGGTTGGGGGGAGGGGAGGGGAGGGGAGGAGTCTGCTGAGATATGACGTTGCGGTCTAAACGTTGCCCAGATCTATTTTGTTGACGCAATATTTGCTATGTCACCAAAATCTAAACTTTGGGCTGGTGTATATCAATAAACTTGGATAGAGCGCGTTGGTAATAGATTCAAAAATATGAAAGAGTTAGACAAAGAGGACAGACAGGACAGACATCAGATGTTTGTCCTGTCCATCCTCTTTGTCTCTTTCATATTTTTGTATATCAATTATTTTATTAACACAAAGTTGATCTTGGAAAGCTTAAAGGGGGGGGGGGGGAAGCGGTTGCCCCACCCCCTTTCCCTTTTAAATCTGTTCCTGGGATGACGTGAAGGGGAAAATGCCCTGCACGGCATGCAGGAGTGGAAAATTTATGTTCTACATTGTATTCAGCCTTTTTCGTCAGTGGCACCATCTATCGGGTGACACACATTCTCATTTCTAACACTCTCACCAAAATAGTGAATTACGTCTTCCAGTGCTATAAGCGACCGTTAGATTTGATACCGCAAATGCTACAATGTCTAGTTGAGAACTGGGTGTGTTTAACGGCGAAAACTGGTGGCCTCTGCATTTCAACTTTCGCGAGAAAAACTAATAGGAAGGGTGTAACAGTCAAGTTCTAAGGTAGTAATAATAAAGCATTGCCACCAGTTTCATTATTTAATAGCCACGCCTGGTATGTATGCTTCCTACAAAGCCTAGGCATCTTGAAAGTTGAGGAGTGCAAAGAGGCATAGCGCACGCTGCGATCTAGCATAGAAGCTGGTATTGCTTGCTGCTTACACCTGTCTGCTTGGTTACTTGTTGGGTGCGAGCCTTCTTTGGTGTCACAATCAAACTCCAATACGACGCACCAGCATGGGTTACGGCTAGGGTTCCCCGTTTTCTGTTCTTATTTTTCCTCGAATTCGGGGTGTTTCTTCGGGGTTTATATTTTTTCATGGATTCGGTACCTTTCGGTATCAATTTTTGGTGTCCGACAAAATAATCTGGGATTATCGGACTTTATGTTGAAGAATATAGTGCATGGGCATGAAATTCCCCAATCCTTAGAAAATGTCCCCGTACCGATTATAAAAGAAAAAAATTATGCGTGTGGTTCTGAAGAAAATAGCAGCTTTGAGCGTGGCCAGTTTATTGGATGGGGGCTGTGTCCCAGGTGAACTGGAAATAAAGCGATACATACATATTTCTTCCTGTGAAGCTCCAATTCAGAGTTGATCAGTTCTCCCCTATTTTGATCAAATCAACTTGGGGGTTAATTTGGGGTTTATCGATATTTACCGAAAACATGGAACCCTAGCTATGGCAGTGATGTGTAGTCTTAGCAGGGAGGGGGCCAACCCGGAACTTTGTTAGTTTGGAACCTGGACTGTTGCAGGTGATGCCCAAGTGGCTCACTGTGCAGAAAACAAAGCAATGGGGGGAACATGAGCTCTGACCAGCCATGTGGAAAGCAAGAAATACCCAGTGGCTCTGAAATCCGCATCCTGTGAAAGTGCATTTTCAGACATGTCCTATCCCCTTTGGAGACATAGGGGTAAGAACTGGACAAGTCTGGGAGACTTGCACATAAAGCAAATTGTGCGTACTGTGTCAAGCAGTGGGCTCATTTCTCCTTTCATATGACAGGTACCTCGAGAAGCAAGCATTTTTGCAGAGAGCGGACTTGCGCCAGTTCGAGATTGAAAAGAATCTTCGCGCCAAGACGAGAGTCAACAGGCTTGTCTAGAGGGGACCTGGAATCAAGGGGCTGATCACCTGACGCTCACAAGGATGATGCCTGTCGGTGTATGTGCAACTGCTGCTTAAGATGTCAATAAAACGACCCTTCTGTAGAATGGCGCTTTGCACCGTCTCGGATGGGTTTGCATACCAGTGGGAGAACGCACGACACAAAAGCTGGCGGCATCTTTTATTAGCGCATTCAGTGTTTCAGTTTGACAAACCTGTGGGTCAGCTCGTACACTCCCACAGTCTGCTTGGCTTTTTCGTCGTAGTCTGCCCACTCGTTGTCTTCGAGCTTGACCTGAGCGAAGCGGGAGCCAGACTCCGCGGCCACGGCCTCGAAGCCGTCGCGTGCGTCGAAGGCGACGGGCTCGACGCCCCGGCAGTCGAACGCCACGATCGTCTTGAAACTGGGCGAGTCGTCGGCCGTGTACGGCACCAAAGACGACGGAATGACGTCCAGGCTGTTCTCGCGGCTGCACAACTTGCACCGAATGACCAGGTTGGCCGAGCCGGGCCCTCCTTTGCAGGCGCTCTTGGAGTCCGCTTCGACGCTGTGCCAGTTGACACCCTCCTCGCCGCAACTCATGCACTTGAGCTTCAGGTACCAGACAAAGTCTTCGCCAGCTTTGAAACTCGACAAATTCTCCAGGTTGGCGCTGAACTGCAACCCTATTTTAACCATTGCGGATCCCGCCGTACACAAACTACCTTCGTACAGCCAGTCAAACCGGGGCTGCGGGGGCCAATCAAACGCGACTTCGCCCTGGCTGGCCCTTAGCGCAATCCCAGCAATCCTTTGAACTCCGTGTTTTGCCGACAGAGCGGCTCGGCGTGAGTCACGTGGTACTCAGGGTTCCAGGAGTCGGCCCGCCCTATGGGAGAATACATGGAGATCGACACAACACGGCTGATTAAAAAATGAACGGCGAGTTCACACTTTTCAAAACTAGTCTGTCGTGAAGTTAGTAAAGCGCTAAACACTTTATCAAAGTTTTAATAATATCGGATGCGTGTGCAAATTTTGAGAAGGCAATTTCCAAGGCAATGGGCGCGTTCAGTAGCGGCCCCGGAGTCAAGGAGTCACTGACTCCTTCCACTGGACGGCCAAAAGTCACTTCCGGTGCACGTAACTCCGGGGCTTCCGGGGCTTCGGAGTCAAGCCAGTCAAGCTCCGAAGCACCGAGTCCGGACTCTAAAGACCGGCGACTAGAGAAAACTTCGGCGCGCACTTTATTGGATGAAATTTGGTGACGTCACGACCAATAGGAGCACGGAAACAGACGCGGTCTCCTCAACGCCGGAGAAACATCGGAAACATCGTGCCTGACGTACCGTCGTCGAACGAAAGGTGAGTGGTTTGAGTTTTCCTGAGATGTGATCTCTATGTGTGTTCGTTCCACGCGTCTGAGCTGTTTCTTCGTTTCAGATCTATTTGGCGCCGCTGCCTACATTGTTTGAGCTTGCGTTCACGATTAAAACAACCATCGCAGAAAGCTGAAAACCCGCCGAAGAACGGCTGACTTGCGAGCTAAACCTAATTCAACAAAACCATTTGATCCGACAGAGTAATGTGCTTGATCTTACATATCATGTCAACAAAGAACTGCACTGTCTGTCTTCGTCCCTACATGTTTTATTCTTTCGTGTTTTTTCAAATCTTTACCAACCCGCGTCCAATCGAATGCCCCGATCACAACAAATAGTTGGTCGTGCTCCGATGGCCCTTATCATCAGCCGGTAAGGCAGTTACGTTTTTCGTTTCTATATTTTGACCCAAGTAACGTCATATTCTCAAACTGTGAAATTCTATCACCACCTCTAGTTTCACATTCTGGTGCACCGTGCACTTGCAGCTTCCTGCACCCCTGCGAGGTTTCCTGCGATCGTACCCTGTATATGATGGATTTCTCGCCGCACGCGAGTGCTCTCGAAGGCGTGCTATACACTCTGTAACATAGGTTGTGTGCAGAAAAGGCACAGGCCCGAGCACAAAAGCGCCCTTTTTGCACGAGCAGCCGTGCAAAAAGAACATTCTGCGGAGCTACGCCCTCGCACCCGTGCCTCTGCTGCACACAACTTATTAATAACCGAGCCGTTCTCGTTTTTGTTTTGCATATTACTGTGAAAGAAGTGTCATTGTTGTTTTCTTCTTCAACAAAACTCACACGCTAGACAAAAGCAAACAAGTAGGAGTCTGCACATTCACACCCTTTTCTCCCTTGTGCGACAGGTTATAGCTGGTCGCGATTCAACACCGTTTCTTTTGAAGCTGATGGGCACCACAAGGCGTGAAAGAGGTGACTTGCAGCTTTGCCAAGGCAGCAGCAAGACACTACAAGCCTTCGCATTAACTGGCTAGCCAGTGCCGCTCTGTTCTGAACAGCACTGCGTGCCATGCAGAGGGTTTGTGCAAGCTCGCTGGGTGGTGACGCTAGCCACGGTAAGTGCATCCTATGCAGTTTTCTTTTAGGGATATATGTGGCTTGCAGGCCATGTCGTGCATGTGCCATTCGAGGGACAGCAGTGCCAGTCGCAAGGCTGTGCTGATGGTAATCACCACTGCACTGTGCTTTCATTCAATAACTACTGAAAAGGAACCAAGTACTTCCGAGAGACTCTCGGTTGTGCTTTGATGAACTCCAGCTCGCTTATGAACAGGTGGATGGCACAGCTGGCCTTTCCTAATGGACTTGATGTCTGTGTTAATAATGCAACCAGACTTCTTTTTAGTTTGGGGCGTTGTTTCTGCTGCAGATGACTAGCGTTGCAGTAGAGAAAAATGCAAAATAGTGTAATGCTTGCATTAGTTACCTAAATTAATGGCGGGAATAACTGACCTACATTTCCACCGACTACATTTCTCAGAGGAATAGCCTGGACTGGATAGCTCGCTGCACTATGGCCTATGTTGCTGCTGCGCCAGAAAACTCCAAATTCATTCATTCATTCCTCCTTAGCCTGTACAACTCGGCGTCCTTTCCTGATTGTCTTATGTGGCTGCTTCTGTGTTTGCCTAGGCACTCGGTTGAGATAGTGAAAGCTGTCTGCATCGCACATAACTGCCATGAAAGCCAGTGTGGACGTAGCTGGGGTAGCCCCCAATATGGCTTCTCTAGCTCGACACAAGTAATGTTGCTACCACTGTCGTGTATGATGCCAATCCAAGATTGAAATATACTTGTGCTTTTCATTGCCGTGACGTCACGCAGGCACATAGCCAGGATTTTGTTTTGGGGGCGGGGGGCGGCAGCGGCGGGCCAGGCCGGGCTCCATGAACCCCCTCTAGTTACGTGCTTGTGTCACAGGATGACAGGCTCACGGTTCGAGCGGCTGTGTAGAAATGAACTATGCCGAGCATTTGTTTCGTGCTGCTGGGTGGGATTTGGGGCGACCTTCCAAAGCATTCTTTTGACACCATGAAACTGTTTGTGATCAGTTGTGAACAAAGTCTACAGCCCTAAGAGTGAACCTTTGCCTTCCCATGATGTCTCAATTTCAATGTTGCCAGTAGAGCTTTTCACTTTGAAAAACACAATGATGACCAAAATTGTAAATTCTGTGACTGCGAAAAAAAGCTATTTCGGCCAGATATTTCGGTTACTATTTCAGCGATGTTTGTTGATGTGTTTAGCAAGTTTTTAGGCAAATCGGGGACAATGAAGAAAATGCCGGAGTACCCCTTTAAAACATAAAGTGCACATGGTACACAATGGAGAAGTTGCTCGCCAATCATTCTCTTAGAAGTGTGAGTTGAGCCCCTTCGAGGCAGTTTACTGCTGCAGCGTGCACTTTAATCTGCCCGAGAAGAGAAAACGAGATAAATGACGAGTAGGATATCTTTGTTCCAAGGCTTCTTGAGACAGGAAAGGCTAGGGAACCAGTATTGTTGCTTCTTACTACCCGGTACGAGACTAAAACCCGACATGCAAGGAAGTCGAAAGGCCTCTTCATGTGCCCTCTTTCTGCTTCCTTGTGCCTTGAGTTTTAGCTGTGTCTACAATTCACGCTCGCCTGCATGCCTACTCTTTTGGTCTCTTTTTTGTTCACTGTGTTACTAAAGTTTTCTGTCATTGCTGTCCCAGAAATGCTTTGTGGATGCACAAAAATACAAGGTGCTCGACGCCTGCAGCTAATTGGTATTGCTTTTCCCGGTACCACGGCATGAAGGAGGTGGCCTCTCTCCCTTCCAAGCAGCTGCGATATACTACAAGCGCTGGGTTACAACTGCAGCTAGCCCATGGGTACCGTTCTGCATCCTGCACTGCATGTAGTTTTGAGAGCCATGTGAAAAGGCAGGTGTAACCTTTTTAGGCACTGTCCATTTTGATTTGTGCATTTTCTGCCGCTTTTTCGGGGCAATTTCTTTTTAAGATTCAAATATTAGAAAACAGACTCAAGTGAGAGAGGGGGTTTTCTGAGAAGACTGGCTTCTTTGCTAAACCATTGGGACTGGTATTATATCTGTAGAGTTCATGTACACCTTACATTATGTACTTTTTCTTTAGTTTTATTTTACTCGGTACTTATACTTCGATGTTACACGACAGCCACTAAAAATGAAGAAAAAACAAAAAAAATGTTGACCTGTCGGTTTTTTGTTTTGTTTTTTTGCAATATGTTGGAAGAGTCAATGATGTGGTCGGTCATTCATGTTATTTTTCCTACACGCACGTCCAGCCTATGTTTACATAAAGCCCCAATTGCCCCTTAGCAACGGAAATAATCTGTGCGACAGACTAGGCGGCAGCATTGTGGACGGAAACTGGCCTGATTATATCTGCCATGTTTAGAAACTACATTTGATGTCAGGTTATGAATTCAGTGGCAAATTCCCCTTAAAAGAATCTACATCACTCTGCCAGCCAATCGCTGCCGTCAGTTGTCGTGACGTCACGTCCAGCAAAAAAACTACAAACTAGTATTTTTTGTTTTTTTTTAATGGCAGGCCTCTGTTGTTGATGCCACATAGCACGTCAACACTCAAGCAATTCTTCCGCTCTTGACCTCTCCGGTTTCACCTTGCGAAGTCGTGACGGTGTCTGCTTTTGTTTGCGGTATTTCCCATGTGTCGACGTGAGAAGGCAGCGGTTGTATCGCCAAGGAAGTAGCATTCAATCTGTGGATTTGCTCCAGCGGCACAGTGTTACAAACAGGACTCTTTCACCAAAGGCAAAGTCTAACGACTCGTCCTACAGTTGCCAGCATCGTGCAGCCGTGAATGCTGCACTGTGCTGGCATTACTTCCTGTACTATGTCCTCTAATGAGTCATCACGACAAACACACACATCATCGTCAAGGCTAGCGTATTCCGCCTGCTCGGCGTTCACATTATGTGCTTCAAGGCCAGAAAGCATGATGCCAGTGAGCTGGTCCTCATCCTCGATATCGTCTTGGTCATCATTGCTAGTCTTGAAGCACATAATGTGAACGCTGGTTTCCGCTAATGTGTGCCCGCTTGAGCCCCGTTGAGTGCGCTTCTTTCCGAGCACCGGTGCTCTGCGGAGAAACAACACTCATGAAAGCACGCTCCGCAGGTTTGCTTCTCTGCGGTGCACCGGTGCTCGGAGAGAAGCATACTCAACAGGGCCGCGAGTACAAAAGTATGAATTAAAGGAGTCATGAAACGCTTTTCCAACTTTTTCCTGTTTAGCTTTCCCCTTCAACTCATAAATCACGCATTCTACCATACAGTTCAAGAAGATGGAAACGGGGCAGTCCCCTCTTGCTCGGACTCTCGTTTGAGTACCGGGACACAGCCATTGTCCCCCTAGAAGATTAGCCCGTCGCTCAAAATTC